TTCCTCCCATTCTCACTACTTTTCCCATGTTATTGTTGATTGATTACAAGTTAAAAGCTCCAAACCAGACGAGAGAGAGCAACATCCCAGTAACTCTGTTGCACGGCACCCTGCCTAGCTTGAGCCTAATAAAATGATTATTTTAAAACTACGGTGGACCCTGCTACTTCTCCTGCTCAATCTTTTATTACTTTTCCGTTGTTATATCGTAATAATGTAATATCAAATTTTGTATTTGTTATTAATTTTAATGGGACCACTTCTTTTATGTATGTTTCAGGCTGTGCTGTCGCCTGTCGGGTGCCAACCCGATCAAAATGGTCGGACCATCAGCAGTCAACAAATTTTAGGCTGTGTTGACTTGGTCAGGATCTAGCTCAAATAATTATTATGGTGGTTTGAGATGTTTATCTTATCTTATATCTGGAAATTCTAAACTTAAGTTGGGTTGATTAGTTAATATACATTCGAATATTTTATCTATTAATTGACAAAAAATGAGTCATTCAGTAGTTCAGGCACTTGAGATGTTAATCCGGTTGTATAAGATTATTGGGTAAAAACAAACAACCTTATATGAATTTCAATGCTATCATTTAATTTTTAATATATATATATATATGCACAGACATCAAGACAAGTATACATTTTATATAATATTATGTATATATGCAACTAAATATTAATTATTAATTATATATGCTATATGATATTTGAGTTTATCTTTTTATCACTGCACCCAACTCAAGACAAATATGTTTTTTTATATATTATTATAAATAAATAAGAGATAAAAAAAGGTCATAACATCAAAAATGAATTATGGGTTGTAACTTTTCTCGAATCCAAGCAGAAACTGATTAAGAAACATAACATTGCTTCTAGAATTAAAAATGTTGCGGTAAAAAATAAGAAAAAAAACATAAATTTCATTATTTCCGCGTTGCTGTTGGCTACTATTTAACGGGTGCCAAGTACCAAAATCTTGTATACATCATCTTACATTAAAGAGACTCGATCCGCTGTCAGCAAATGTGTGTTACTGCCATCCGAACATACAGCAGGAAAAACTATCATATTTTTTTTTATTTGTATTTTATCATTCATGAAGTGAGATATTCTCAATGTGCAGCTGCATTTTTGTGTTAAAAACATGTTAATATGTTGAGAAAATCTATGATGTATAAAAGATATGATATGAAAAGAGTTTGGATCAATCAAAATCTATCCATAAACTTTGATAAATAACACCTTATTCGCTATTATGTTTATGATTTCAGTTTATTGGTTAATTATTTTTCAAATATTATATCTTTTTCATATCATAGTCAAATCCTAATATATTCGTCTGTAGCAAACCCCAACTTGTTTTAACGCTTGCATAGATCATGCCGCCAACTTGCATTTAAATAGTAGCAAACCCCAAACTTACCAACAATGCATATTTTACGTGTTTTATTTTAGGAAAATAGTTTGTTATTTAAATAGGGTAAATTACAATTTACCACCCTGGACTTTGGGGTAGTGACGCTTAGCCCCCAAACTTTTATTGGACTCTCAAACTTTCAAATTCCACACTCTCCCCCTTCCATTGGTATTCAAACAATTAATTTTGAAAAAGACTTTCATGTAGACCTGGCAATCGGGTTGAGTGGGTCAGGGTACTTCATGGTTGATTTCGGGTCGAGTTATCAAAATGCTAGACCCTAATCCTAAATGTTTGGGTTAGGGTTGATCCATGGGTCATTCGGGTCATCCCAAAAAATAATTGAAATTTAAAAGAATAAAGAAGAATTACATGAAAAATGTCGAAATTAAAAGAATTAACCTTAAAATTCCAAATATAAAATAAAAAACTTGAACATTTAACAATTTAAAGAGTAAACAATAAAAAGTAAAGACTAAATAGAAAAATTAAAGAGTGGAAACTTCTAGTAATGCATAAATAATCCCAATTAGACTTGACAATTGGGTCAACGGGTTGACCCTTGACCCAACCCAACCCAGTATTTTTTTTGGGTCAGGTCATTTTTACATTCAATTAGCTAAATATGAGACCCTAACCCTGTTTTTTCAGATTGGGTTGGGTCGGATTCGTGGGTTAGATCAACTTTTTGCCAAGTCTACTTTCATGTGCTTGTTAATCATTTCTAAATCCATAAAAACCTTTTTTTCTTGCATATTTATATGAACCCTTATTTTTCTTGTCCATTTTTGCCACATTGAAATGTTATTTTCTCGCTTCTTATAAATCTTAAAATGGCATTTTAGTAAATTTAATTTTTTTTTTGTCAATCTTTTACAGGGAGGGGCCAAAGTGTTTGAATTTAAATTTTTAAAGAGGGGTTTTGTTGCAAAGGAAAGTTCAAAAAAAAAAAAAATAGAGAAACCTCCAAAAAAGCTATGAATTGTATATATACAGTGGAAAATTTGCTTTTCTGCTTTTGTAGACATCTGAATATCGAGGGTTGTTTAATAATCTGAATGTTGTGACATCTGATAAGTTTATATTTTACAAATTTACTGCTCGAATCATGATTTAAATAAAAGGATTTTTGGATTGCAATCCCCCTCAGAAATTTTTTTGCAACTCCCTCTTAGTCTATTAGTAGCCCAAAAGACTCACCTTATCCACTTTTCCCTACTCAATCTATATGGTTAAAGTTATAGAGTTTCATGTCTGTACTTTCTGACTCTCGGTTTTGCTGTTAAAATTTCTTTTATTTTTCAGGACCGATGCTCTCATAGATGAAATAGAGGTGTCCACTTCATTTGTTTGTTACAGTAATTTGGCAGAAACTACTATAGAATTCAATGCCACTCCCATCTGAGCTACCTCTTGCAATTCATGTTCTGGCGCTGTTCATCGTCTAGCACTATTCATCAATCATCCTCAACCTCTCACATATCTAAAACCCTATTATTGTTCATGATCTTCTCCACTGCAATGTTGAATTAGAGGTGGCGAGATTCTCCACCTCACCGAAGTGTCGAACCAACACTGTTTATCGTCTAGTAATTGCCGTCACCTGCAACCAGTCCTTCGTCGAAAACACCATTTGCCATGTAATCAACGTTGTTTTTTCTTTCTCCTCCAACAAAACAGTTTAGTGATCCTGGGTTTGAACCTGGTTCATCGCGACTCCGCCATTCATGGGAGAGATGAGGGAGAAGGAAGAAAGAGGGGCATGGATGGAATTGGAATTTGTCCCCTACCTCTGAATGCACTTAGAGGTAGTTTGGGTGATAAATGGTTCAGAAGTTCTTTTGGTGTTTAGAGGAGCAACTCGGAGGTGAGTTCTGCTTCCGTCAGGGCAAATCGGCAAAAGCCCATTAGAGCAGCCTTTACAGCTTGAATATCTTATGGAAGGCTACAAATGGCGGTTGGAACAGTGTGGGCACGGACTTGCCCTGAGGGAAGCCGATCTCCTTGAAGGTGCAGTCGAATGACCTCTGACCTCTGACCTCTAACCTCCGAAAAGGTGTTTGGAAGTGGATTCAATGCTGTCAAAGGCCACTTTACCCTTACAAATATTTGCTTGACTGAGTTTTCTTCAAATTATAAGAAAATTAATCATGAATACTAGTGTCCAAGGTATAAAAAATAGTTACGTATTAGCTTGTATGGACCGATACATATTGTATCAGGAGCATTCTAATACACCCTTACAGAGAGTGTATCGGAGTTTAGACTAGCTCAGGGGGTGGAGGAACCTTAAACTAGCCCTCTGAACCGGATTTAAAAAAAAAACCCAATACCGGTGCTGTCCGATTCACCATTGCAAAGAGAGCAATTAAGCTATACAAAATTGGTCTAACAAAGCAAAGCCTAGGAACTTTTTTGTTGAATTTTCCCGACACTAACCGCTTCTAGACACAATGAAATTACTTGCAAGCAAAAATTCTGCAAACACTGTATAAGTTGAGAATCTCCATGCACATTCCTATAAATTTTAAATTTTAACGTAAACATAATATAAGAGAGATATTCTCAATGTGTGGATGTTATACTTATATGAGATTTTACCTGCATGAGATCGGAGATCCAGGATCTTTCCACACACAGGTAGCAGTGAAGTGTCTAATCATTCGGGCCCCTGCTTGAACTTCAGCTTGAGACATTTCTTTTTGGACAGTCATTTGGGGAGAAAATGCCAAACAGCAAGAGCTTGATTTTGCAGCCCAAAGGACTCTTCTATTTATCTTATTAGTTATTTATTATCACTACAAATTAAAAAAAGGAACTATTTCTTTGACCTTTTACATTTACATTCATAGTGTCTAAAGAATTCTTGGGCTGCTTTACTCAATCAAAACTCTAAGCTATAATTTCTCATGCTTACTTTATCATATCAACCTATCAAAGCAAACGGGGTTCTTTAATTCTCAGTCCTCCGTCTTCCGTCTGGACAGCACAATAATTTAATCACTTTTTAATAAGAAGACTCAAAATTCAGTTGAAACCAGAACGAGACAAACAGTAATAGTAATAAATGGATGGTGGATAAAAGAGGAAGAGAAGAGAGTCATTCCCACCTTTTAGCATTCAATGTATGTATAGAGACTATAGCAGTAAGAGCTTGCAACAGTAATAAAAATTTTCAAAGCCATCCCCATCTCCAACAGTGGCCGGCGGGGTTACGATAGCGACTTGAGATTTTGTGTTTGTCTGTCCTTTCACTTTATTATTCCCTCATCTTCTCTTTTTCTTTATATTAAACGCAACAAACAAAAAACAAAATCAATTACATGGAGACACGGAACGGGCCTGAAGCCCTGAAAGATAAAGAAACAGGAACGGAAATGGATGTCCACTCCACTCCATTTACACAACGTACATTCCCCCTTTTGCTTTTTCTCGTCAGCCCTGCAACTCTCTGCTTCACTGTCAAGCTAAAATAACCCCCCCAGGCCCCATCGTCCCATCCTGCTAACAAATCACCCAAATTCCTATTTAACTTCTCTCTTTGCAAATGTTTTATCAATTTCCAGCTCCAGCAGAAGAGCGCCAGCTGATGATTTCCAGAGAAGGGTAATTGTAACTCCTGTTCCGTTTACTTTACTGGTATCACCCTAACCACCAATCACTAATCAACAGCTCTTCGATAAATGCAACACCAACACGTTTCGATTATTTTACCCCCTACTCACCAAACCCAAAAGACCCCAGCCGATGATTTTACCTGTAACCGTGGTTACTGGTTAGCGTAGATTCCGAGTCTTGTCATTGGTTCAGACTGTTCTTTTTATAATAAGCAGTAAGTAAATGCTGAGATTTTGTAAACAAATCTCGCTGTTTAGTGTATCAAGAAATGTTTCAAGTGGAGATCGCCAGTATCCAGTAAAAACATAAATGAGATTACCCCAGAAAAGCGATAACGCCGAGAACCAGGCTTCCCTGACATCTTCGGCCCCGCTAGTCGCTAGACACTAACAGAGAGATTTTATTTTAACCCCGTAAATGAAGAAGATCCCTGTTCCCATCATTCTCGGAGTATCGGATTTTGTTCGCTGAACAGAACCTCGTTTCTATTCGTTCCCCCACCCCCTTGCTCTCCTTTTCACCTTCCCTATAGCCACCTTCCTCTCTCTCTCTCTCTCTCTCTCTCTCTCTCTCTCTCTCTCTGTATTAACTTACTATGGTTGGCCTTATTATCTTAACCGCCATTGTTGCCGCGAAAAAACCGCCGGTTTCCAGCTTCAGGATATCTTTTACGGTGTTATAAAACCCACCCTGCTTTTCTTTTTCTCTGTTCACCTTCGATTCAGAGGTTGTCAGAAAACACCAATCCTCATTTTTAAAGCCCTCTCTTTTTCTCTCTTCAACTGATAGACTCAGAGCTCAAAACCGCTTCTCTTTCTTTTCGCAGGAAAATTACTCTTTTTTTTTTTTTTGGTCCAGTAAAGCTGCTTGCTTGGAAATAAAAAAGAGTATTGAGAAGAAGAAAATACTTCTTATTACCCAAAAAAAATATAGGGACTACTTCTTTGAGTGAAAAGCCGCATCCTTCAAGTGTTGTAGTATCTCTTCTCCGCTCCTCATTGCTTTTCAGTTCTGTAGAAGCTCTGCAAATAAGGATAGAGAAACAAAATCTTCTTCTTCGTCTTCTTCGGTTGGCTGTATGCGGCTAAAAACAGTTTTTGACGCTACTGCTTGGTGACGGTGTGTCGTCAACGGCTTTCAGAACTGAAGCGTCTCCTCTTACAGAGAGTCCTTCTCTCTTCTTGTTCTACGACAACTGAATAAGTTTTCTTTCATGTATTCGACAATGTGAGGAGCCCCACTTATTGAGATCCAGTATTCCTTCCCTTTTTCCTGTTCCTGAGAACAAAGAAGAAGATTTCAGCTGCTCCAGGAGTCGGTTCAGCGAGGGGATCCCTCATTTTGAACGTCTGTTGTGGTACGAGGTGCGTTCGTGCTAATAGATCTGTTGATCCACATTGCAAAGCCCGCGATGAAGTGGCACGGTGATCTTCGAAAGAAACAGGCGGGGAGGGGATCTTGCCGTGGAAGCTAGGAATTGTTGTCTGAGCTCTATTTATCGATCGATCTGACTTGTGTGAGTCTTGAACCAGAGCAGAGATGGGATCCCTCCTCATCAAAGAGGAACTTAAGACTCTCTGCAGCAGCAATGGATGGTCATATGGAGTCTTCTGGCGCATGAATCGTCCAAATTCCATGTAATCCCTAAATGCATTTATGTTTTCCCCCTCTTAGCATATTTTCTTTTAACTTTTTTATGTTAGGATTCATGTGATAACTGTTATTTCTGAGTCCTGACTAGTTGTTTTTTTATGTTAGTTGAGGTCTCTGGTTTGTTTCATTTTGGCATCTTTCAAGTTATTGTTGAGCTTTTGGCTTGTTATGTTCCAACATTGTCCCAAGGTTTGGTTTTTATTCTTTTCCTGTTATTATTGTTTTTCCTTCTCATTTCTGATTTCCCCTTATATATGTCTTTATTTCTCTGTTTTTCATTTTTGTTTTTTCCTGGGTTTTACCATGAACTTCTTATTTTATGTTTTTCGTTTTTGTTTTCTTCTGGGTTGTATTTATTTGGTTACGATGGCTTGCCATAATAAGATATCGATATTTCAGAGAGAAGTAGGGTTTAAAATAAAGCTTTAATTTTTGTTCTCTTTAGGCTATTTCAGTGGTAATGCTTTACAGGTCCAGAAAAGGAAATTTCAACCTGATAAATTATTACCAGATTGCTTGTTTGGATAGTGTCGTCCTCATGTCTGATTTGCAATTACCCGGGATCTCCTCTTTGTTTTCTATTTTTAAACCCAACTTGATGTTCTATTCTATTCATGCACGTGGCCCTGATATTTACTTCCCTAGACATGTCTGCAAGTTCTACGGGTAATTGTCTGCTTGTTCTGTCTAATTTTTGAAACATGATGTTTTGCCTTGTTGAGAATGCGTTGCCCTCTTCTTACTGATGCAGTTTTGGAAATAGTTAATGGTTTTGAGTGAAGCACAATAATTTGGGGATTGTACCTTGGTAAGGCTACTATATTTGGATTTTACCTTATTGCTTACTGGTCTTAGTTGATGTTAAATTTTCTAGGTTATTGACCGTGGAAGACTCCTACTTTGAAGAACCTATTAGCATGGTTGTTGACAAGATGCTTCAACAGGTCCACATGCTGGGACAGGGGTATGCTTGCTGTCATATGCTGCTTAACTTAATTAGGCTCTTTTATTCGGGTTTTTTTTTTTCATGTAAAAAAAAATCAAAATTCTGTTACCAGCCTATCCAGGTGAAAGAAATTTTCTTCTATGTTATAATGATTGTTTGAAATGCTTTTGCAAGGTAAAAGCATAAGGGGCCATTTTTGATGGGGCTAACTTTATGTTTCTTGTCCTTAGCATCATTGGAGAAACTGCTTTTACTGGGAAGCACCGATGGTTGTTCTCAGATACTTACTTTGAAGAATGGGGTTACCCGGGATCTGTTGACAACGAAAACACATTCCAGGTATTGTTTGATGTTAGATACTGCATTGGTTCAGATCTTTTTCCCCCAACATTGCTGACCCCATGTCAGGAAATTTCTCAAGTTCAAAATGTTTTGGGTGATGACTGATTGGTTTAATGGCCCCATGTAAATTTGGGCATTTCTCCATTCTTATATCAAAATTGTGAGAATTCTACAGACACTTTGTCCTTCTTCTCTTTATATTTGGTAATTCTCTAAAAAGTTCTTGTTCCTTTAGGGGATGGAGGATAAAAGGTTTTTAGTGTAACAATTGTTGAACTTCTGGCCCTTTTCATTGCTGTGAACAAATTATGAGATTACCTTCTTATTATTTTTTCACAGGATAATTCAGAGTTTCATCATCAATTTTCTTCTGGAATAAAGGTACATCCTTGTTTGTTTTGAACTAATGCATAGGTTGAAAACATATTATATCTTATACTAAGGTTTTCAGTCCAACTATGGTGCATTTACAAAAATTCGCTGCACATTAAATCAAGATTTCAACCAATCACATTAAAGACATCACCTCGTCTACATACTTCCCATTGGTCCATGTTTTACAAAGTGTATTTTCACATTTCACAAGGTGTATTTACCATCAAAACTTAACAACATTAAAGATAGCTGTGGCATGTCATTTTATCACTGGTTCCCGTTTTTTTCTTTACAATGTGGTTCATGCCCCATAGATTTTGCCTTCAAATTTTTACTCCTCAAAATCATTTACTAGTATATCTGTCATCTTTTTTCTCATTTAAGGTCTTAAGAATGTCTAATGATCACTCTGGTTTATTTTGCAGACAATTGCTGTAGTTTCTGTGGCACCACTGGGGGTTTTGCAGTTTGGATCCATGGAGAAGGTTTGTAATAGATGAAATGTGCACCATTGACAAAAAAAAATAATAATAGAAGAAGGAAGCACTTTGTTAGTATTTTAGTCAAAGCATTACTAAGATTATAAGTGTGTTGACACCTTGATCATGTGAATTGAAAGTTCAATATTTTCATTGATGTGGTTCAATTATACCTTGTGAACTGTTGCTTGTAAAAGCTGTGTGTGTTGTAAGTAAAGGCTTTACCGCTTTAGCACCGATCTCTAATATTTTTGTAGCTTGCTTTTATCATTTTAGCACTGTGAAAATTACATCCAACTCTGTTGTAGACTATTCAATTATTAGCTACCTTAGGGAAGGTTTACTACTGAAAAGTTCAAAGTACGGTTTTCTTGAAGCTCCTATTCTTCCTGTTTTCTATAAGGAAGAAGAGACCAGTGAGAGAATCATCATCATCCAAGCCTTGTCCCAACTATGTGGGGTTTTTTACTACATGAATCCCGTTTTGCCATTCTGTTCTGTTTCATGCCATATAGACCAGTAACAGCATATATCCTTAAAATTGGTTGCATATCTTGAAGCAAGAAAGGCAAAATGATATGTTTCCATTTTGTGCATTATCCAACCATCTTATGTGTGAATTTTGTTTTCTTTTTTTTTAACACTGGTCTTGGGAGTGCCACCAATCTAAGCCCTAGAACATGACTAATTCCTAGAGGAATGCGTATGCAGTAACTTTTAGCTGGCTTTTGCATTGTATTACTAGGTTTAATCCATTGTTTTCAAGTTCATCCATGCAGTTACTATCATCTTTGTTGTTAGTACAGAGGTAAATTTCAATATAAATTTTCAGGATTTATTGATTACACTGATTCTGCTGCAGCAGATTCTGGAGAGTTTGGAATTTGTGGATCATGCACAAAGTTTATTTCGCCAGTTGGGAAGTCATGATGGGCTAATCCTGTCAGGAAGTTCATGGACACCTTTGAACAGTGAAATTTGTGATCAAAGTGGATCATTTGCATCAGTAGTTTTGCCTGGGAATTCCTTTCCCAATTCTGAGAACATGAATTCCTTGCTTGTTGATAACAGCTGCAAAAGGCTGACACAAACAAATTCTTTAGAAATCCTTCCTCAGTCTACCTCATTTACCTCAGAGATGCAGAATGGCAGCATGACTACCTTGATTGGCAACTCATTTCATCCCAAAAACAAATTTCAGGTGGCAGGCCCTGAAGCTCAAGTGACATTATCAACTAGTACACATTTAACTCAGGCCTTGTTGCAGTCTACTAACAATTCTGCTCACAATTCTATACCCCAAAACACCAATACAAGTATATGGAGTGAAGAAAATCCAACCATGCCTTCATTTGAACAACAAATGCTAACAGGAACGGGGATGCATGGTTCTCCAAAAATGTCTTCTGCAAACCTGAACATTCCTGAATCTTGCAGCGCAAATACAACACCTAAATCAGTATCTGGCTTGGATTCGCATGAGATCAACAGACCTATTGGGAGTGATAGAATGAAACTGGTAGATATCCGGTATCCAATTCCCTTGTCCCTTGCAACTGAAGGTGAAATTAAAAAAGCATTGACCAGTTTTCTTACATTCCCTGTGGAGTCCTTTCCTTCAAATGCTGCAACAGTTCTCTCTGAACACAATTTAATAGATAATCCTCAGTGGGTTGCTCCACCATCAGAGCAGACCAATAATGAATTGGCTACAAAACCAAATGACAATCTGTCACAATCTCTAGGACTTGTTTCAGTAGAAACTGGCTTTTCTGGAAGTAATGTTTTGGATGGTGTTGCAAACCACCATGTTGATGCAATTATGATCAATCCTATGACCAAAATTATGAATTCTACTGCTGCAGTTCATAATGGGAAAGAGCATTCTTGTAACCTTCCATTGCGAATACCTACTGATAATGAACTTTTTGATAGTCTTGGATTGAATTTTGGGTACTACCAGGGGAATGAGTGTTGGGATGATATTATAATGCCACCAGAAAGTAGTGGTTGCTCAAGCTTAAGTACTATTATATCTGAATGCATCTCAGAATTAGATGTTGGCTCCAAGACTGGTGCTCGGAAAAGTTTCTTCTCAGAGTTTGGAATTGAACAGCTGTTGAATGATGTTTGTAATTCTAACTCTGTTGTCAAGCCTAGTACTGAAAATCCATCATCCACATCTACAGTAACAAGAACAGGCAGTACCTCTGGGTATAGTAATCAAGTTCAGCTGGCAGGACTTTCTTGCTTGGGAGGAAGTATGGATGTGATGCTTCCTGAACCAGAATCTACTCTTGAGAGGATGAAAATACATGGAAGTGAGAAAGAACCAGTCTCAAAGCCTCAAGTTGGTCGTTGGATTGATGACAGTTACAGTATCAACACTGAGAGTGCTGTTAATCAGACTAAGAGGCCAGAGGAACCAGCAAAAGTTACCAGAAAAAGAGCTCGGCCTGGGGAAACTACTCGACCAAGGCCAAAAGACCGCCAACAGATCCAGGACCGTGTGAAGGAGCTGAGAGAGATTGTGCCAAATGGAGCAAAGGTACTTACTTTTAGATATTGAAGTATGAATGTGAAGTATTGCATGGATTACTGATTTTGTTAACTTGCTCCTATGTAACAGTGTAGCATTGATGCTTTATTGGATCGTACTATCAAGCACATGCTCTTCTTGCAAAGTGTGACAAAATATGCTGACAAACTTAAAAAAGTTGATGAGCCCAAGGTAAGTAGTTATAATGAAAAATTAAGTCAAGGGTCTAGGTATTTAGTTAATGATTTCATCTCAGTGATATTTAAAATTAAAATCGCGGTTGTACAGATGATTGGGGAGGAAAATGGTGTGGTTCTGAAAGACAACTCAAGTGGCAGTGGTGGTGGCACTACTTGGGCATTTGAAGTTGGGGGTCAAACCATGGTCTGTCCAATTATAGTTGAGGACCTCAGTCCCCCTGGCCAGATGCTTGTAGAGGTAAGGAACAAAAATTGTTTATGCAGAACTTCACAGGCTTTATTATCAACTAGCCTATTTTGTGTTGTGAATGTCAAATCTTATCAACTTGGGCTACTTGATTCTTTTTTATATCACAGATGCTCTGTGAAGAACGGGGTTTATTTCTTGAGATAGCAGATATAATTCGTGGGTTTGGATTGACAATCTTGAAGGGAGTAATGGAAGCACGGGATGACAAAATATGGGCGCGATTTGTTGTTGAGGTAAATTTTGATTAACATTAATTAAAAAAAGAAATAGAAAAGGATCACCTTTGATGTGAAGGAAGCATCTGGTTGTGTTCTTTCTCCATTTTTCAATCAGAAAACTGATATTAGGTATGATACAGGCAAACAGGGATGTAACCAGAATGGATATATTTCTTTCTCTTGTTCAGCTCCTACAGCAAACAACCACCGGTGGGATTGGTCCAAGTAAGGTCATTGACATTGGGGTTCCACCGTTTACCAATTATCAGCAAACTCCCATGCCTCTTCCAATCAGTTTGGTGGATAGAATGCAGTGAAATTAGAACAAACCATCCGGAGATGCCTTGAGCAGTCATGCATTGACTGCTGTGATTGGCATTCAGCCAAATGACCTAGCTTAAATAATCGCCACCAAGCTTTCAGATTAATTGGAAATCCTCTTTGTTAAACAAGGGAAATGTATAATGGGAGTTCTATTTTCTCATTGTGTTCAAAGCATGTGGTGGAGATTGGGGTTGAATGGGGATGCATGTGCATGTTGCTTATAGGATGGAAATTTTCTTTGAGATGAAGGGCTGGCTCTTTTCTTTTGGACATTTTTTCCCTTGAGAACAGGTGACGGACAAAAGATCCATGTGAAAGGTTGTTCTTAGAAGTTAGAATGAGCCCTGTGAAAGGTTTTGAAGCTAGTTTTGGCTTTGAGGGGATTTGACTCATTTGATGGGGTTCATGTTGGGATCAATAGAGATGGAACGACGGGAGGAGAGATGTATGATGATGTGAAGGATGGCTTTTCTTTTTGTTCTTCTCATTGCCTTTGTATTCATATATCTTCTTAAATTGAAATATCTCTCTCTCTCTCTCTCTCTCCCTCCTGTTGGAAGCCAAAATTGGGTGATCGTGGGACATGTAGAAAGGTTGTGTTAAAAAGGATTTCTTTTTAGATACTGCAATACCATCTAGACATTTTATTTCAATGTTGAAATTATAAAATTGTTTAATTTTATTGATACAACCAACATCCTGATATGCCGGACCGTGCATGCAATATGCCCCGTGATCAAAATAACCTTGGTTTCAATTGTATGCACCCCACTTCAACTTCTCTATATGTCAGGTAATGAATTCCTTCCTAAAACAAAACCCTTCTCACAGAAGCCATGGTCCCAGTGCTCCGAACTGGCTCCCACCAGTTTTTCTACTTGAGTGGACTTTTCCCTAATTCCACAATAATAAATCATACCATAACTTTATTTTCTCTCCAAAGTAAAAAAGTGTTTCGATGGGTCAATGTTACCCTCTCATTGGCTAGTGGAGTCCTATGAAACATGGACTTTTGGAGGAAGAAAATGATTGCTGCCTTGGGCCGACTGTCTTCCACACTACTATTTAATAATCTATAGAAATCTCATCAGAGAGAGAGAGAGAGAGAGTGAGAGAGAGTAAGTAAATCAATATGAATCCATGGACAAGCTTAATAAGTTAGATACAATTTCTACCATCGGTAGAATGTGGCCTATGCACTTTCAATTGTTTAGGTATTTCAGGTTTGGGTGGTACACCTACAAAGAGAAAAGGAAAAAGGATTCTAAAGTTGGTAGGAATTCATGAGAAGTGTAATCCTAGAAAGTGATAGACTTCTAAAATTGGCAAACAAGAGTTTATATTCTTAATCTTTTTTCGCTGCAACTTGCAAGCACACTTACAGTCTAATTGTCTTGTACTTGTTTGTAGTGGTGGCAATTGGGCAGGGTGGGTTGGGTTGGGTTTGAGTTGAATTTTAATTTAACCCATTAACCCGTTAATGATCTAGTTATATAAAATTAAATAGATTGGATTCAATCCAAGACGGGTTAAATACTGGGTGGATTGGGTGGATTCAGCGGGTTGGATGAAAAATTGCCACCCCTACCTGTTTATTCTTAAAAAGGAGAGAAATGGTGAAGCATCATCATTAACTTTCTTAACAACCATTGTGATTGACTGATTTCTCTGATTTACGGATATGATCCATTAATCCATATGAACGTCCCTCTTACCAGGATATATTAGGAAGGATCAATTGAAAGGGTAAAAGACAGACGACAGTAATCCATTAAAAGGATATATTTTAAAGTTGAAACAAATGTATTATACTTGTCACCTTGCTCCCTCTTCTCATCCTTTTAACCTGAGGCTTTGGGGCCTTCATTTTAGATCTTGGGAACCATGCATCATGTTTATAATGCACAATTATATATATAAGTAAAAGCTCATGAATTTTGGTGCATTAAGGGGAAATCTATGATGCTGGAAATACATGATACCAGAAAAGGCTTTGACCAATTACAAGCTTCCGTGAATTTTGGTGAAAATCCACTTGATTGGTTCTATTTTTATTGTGCCAGTTGATTGATTGTAAGTTTTTTTTTGGTATCATATCTTTCAGACATCATAGTCAGACCTTTTCATAGTCTAGATTTTTATGTGTTTCACATTTTTTTAATTATTCAAATATTGTTTTGGTATCATTGAAAAATTCATAATCCGGGATTCATCTTTCTTATAAGATCGAAAAATTCTAGCACTATGAAAGTACCACAGGTTTATAATACTGTTCCTAGTGCATGGCCCTAGTTTGGACTGTGGATGTATTAGCCAATGTCTGGGCTCTCTAGCCCTCTTTATTGTACTAGTAAGTATGCACATGCTTTGCACTTGATAATTTGTTATGATGATGATGATGGTGATGGTAAATAATATGTTTCCAAAATTTTTTGCATTTTTTATATTTCTATGTCTATAAACATTATTCTTATTTGTCATACTTATTTTTGTTTAATATGATGAATATACATATTAGAGATATATCTAAATGTTTTCTACTTTTTTTTGTATTTTTACTTTTGTGTACTTTTCATATTTTTTAATTGTTATTATTATTATTTAATTATGACATCAAGCATTGATACATTTGACCCAAATGTTGAATTGTTGACTCACCAATCACCACCAAAAAGGAAAGCAATTCCATTTTTAGGTTGGTTTTAAAATTGTATTTTATTTCTATCATCAATAAAAACAAGAGTAAATGACTTAAAACCTCCTTGATATTTCACCTAAATACTGAAAAATCCCCTCATTTTTTTAACTTGGACTTAGACCTCCCCTGTTTTGAAATTTTCAATTTTCCCTTTATTATTGGTTGTCTTACGTGGACAAAAACCTCTCCTTACCGAGAAAAAGGCAACATTAAACAAATTCCTGACACAAACTAAACTTACAGCAAGTGAGACGTTAAATGTTTGATTCATCTGTTATCAACTGCAATGCCTAAGCAAATTAAGGAAGTGATGAAGGTAGGTGGGCTTACAAACAACGAAGTCAAAAGCCATTTACAGGTCTATATCATATTCATGAATTCTAGATTAAACATGAGGCTTCTTCTAATCAACGTTTCTTATCAGAAACAAAGTGTGGAGAATCGAAAATGTTCTGAAATTCTAACTTCTAAGGGAAAGGTCAGCATAGAATTCCTTCCAATTGGTACTTGATTAAAATGTTATACTTAAGATTTATTTTGTTAAACAGTAAGAAGGCTAGTTGATAGCCATTGGCTTAGATAAATCTTTAGAATAGAAGAGATTCTAATGCTCGGGGTTGAGAGGATCATATCGAATCATTGGTATTATATATCAAATTGGTGGGTTTGGACCTATCCAGCAACGATGATATGAAGAGGTGGTCTAGTTTTGACTAACCCAAGGTATGTTAGTCATTTTACTTTCTCTGTTAGAGATAACGGTTTGCAAATCTGAGAGGAGAGAGTTTAAATCCAATTTGAAAAGTGAGATGATGTTTTAGTATTTAGGTGAAATACCAGGGGGGTTAAGTCTTTTACTCTAGAAACAATTATTCTTTGTCACCCTTATTTTCTTAAATGTTGTTAATTAATATAGGGATTCAATGAAAGAAATCCCTAAATATAAGACATAATGAGAGGGAGTTGAATGAGGAAAAATGTAGTACTCAAATTATATTTTGTGCCCTCACAATTAAAGAGGGACCAAATTCAAAAATAGGAATATTCTAATCAAGAATAGGAACCAATGAATGTTAATATATGGGAGTTAATACCTTAAATATAGAACTTAATGAGAGGAATTTAAAGGAGAAAAGTGATTGTTTAATTATATTTATGTCCTTACAATTAGAGAGGGGCCAAATTAAAAAAAAATGGGGTATTTTAGTTAAACCAAAATTCCACTCTCACTCACACTTTTAATATTAGTATTAGTATAGATTTAGGGATGTCAATGGACTGGATTGGTCCAACATGAGTCCATTATAGATGGATCAAGTCCAATCCAGTCCAATGAATATTTTGGATTGGACTAGTCCAATTTAGCGTCTTACTGGACTGTCCAACTAGTTCAAACTGGTTTTAATTCAAATTACGTTCAATCCAAACTTGGTCTATTGACACCCTTAGTCTTATCTTTTGTCAATAAACCAGATATTGGTTTAACCCATCCCAGTCCAATATAAGTCCACTACAAATGGACCAGGTCCAATCCAATCCAATAAATACTATGGACCATAAGTATGTGTTTAGAACCGTGGACGTTTATTCACTAAACGTTTGTACTTGATTTGTTTGCAAAAACTAAGAAAAGCAATAATGGACCCATTTATTGACACTTAGGCACCACTAGGCACCACATTAGCAAAACAGTGAATAAATGCCTACCCATTGGGGGAAGCGCTAAAATGAAACTTCCCCTAACAGTAGGCGCACACATAAATCAAGGCCTGCTTTTTCGAATCTCTATGCGTACAAATCCGCATAATGGGGGAAAGGCTGAAGTGGTGTGGCAGCGTTTATTCAATAAATGCCAATGATTCTAAACACACGCTAAGTCTAGACTGGTCCAGTTGAATACGTCCTATTGGACTATCCGACCTGTTCAAATTAGGTTTAATTTAGATTGCGTTCAACCCAAAATTTATCTATTGACACCCCTACTCTTATCTTCTGTCAATAGATTGGATATTGGTTCAACCCATGACATTCCAATATTGATCCATTATAGACCAATGTTGATCAGTTAGGTCATAATCAGTTTGGAGCAAATTCCAAATCAGTTATAATCGGAATATGTACATCTAACTCTATATAATTGGGTTAGTTATCTCCAGTTTTATTAGGTATGCAAACATTTTGGATCTGTTCACCACAACACATTGCTGGTCATGTTCATTCATCTAGTCGCATATTGGGAACATTTCTTAGGCTATATAGTTTCAATATTCTTGATGTATGGTTAAATAAACATGCCAACAATGTGTTGTGGTCAGCAAATCTAGACTCACATTTAACAATAGTAAACAGTAATATACCACTAATATGGTAATTAACATATCTATCTATATCTATATCTATACTACTATAAAAGTGTGAATAGCTCCTATGGCTTCTGGAATTTTTTTTTTTACTAAAATATCCCTCTTCCCTAATTAAGTCCCATATTTAAGACATTAACTCCCACTTTCTCTTATTAGATCCTATATTTAAGGTATTTGATATCATTAAATAACACTAATTAAATCAAGGTTAAAAGACTTAAACCTCTCTATACTATTATGAAAGTGTGAATAGCTCCTATGGCTTCTGAGTTTTTTTGAAAAAAAATACCCCTATTCCCTAATTAAGTTCCACATTTAAGACATTAACTCCCACTTTCTCTCATTAAATCCTATATTTAAGATATTTTTTATATCATTAAATTCCACTAATTAAATCAAAGGTAAAAGACTTAAACCTCACCTGATTTTTGTGTTAAATATTAATTCTTACATTCTCTTTTCAAAATGCAATAATACCTTCCCTATCAAATGCTTTAGCATTATATCTAATAAAAAATTTTAAAAGACAAATATAACCTTACAAGTTACAAAATCAATGCTGGGATTATGTTTAATGGACTAATACTTCCCTTCTCTCTCTTTTGGTCAATAGAATGTTGGAATAATTATGGATTGGTTTTGACTCTAATAAACCATCCAAACTTATCTGATAGTGAGTGGATGGGTTTTTTGAAAACTAAAATTACTTAAAATAAATAAATAATTAATTAAAATATCAATAATATTTTAAATATATTTTAATATGTAAATAATATAATTAATATCATTATATATGTATAATCAGGGTCAGGGTGGGGCGGGGACGTCATTCCCCTTCCTCGAACCTAACCTTGATCGGGGATCCCTATTAATCCATGTCCCCATTCTCACCCTGCCAAAGCAATCCTCATCCCCAACCTGATAGGGTCAGAAAAGTTGGGTACCCATCGGGGATGTGAAATTGCCATCCCTAAAGTAGATCATTTTGTTTGAATTTTGGCAAGTAAACGATGCACATGGCAATGAGATATAAGCTATGGAGTCTGTTAAGAAAGTTGAATGTGCAAGAACAACACAATACAATGTTGAAGCTAGCCACATCCCAGTCACAAGCTATATTAATAAAGCTTTAATGGTCGATGATGAGTCATTTTTTTGCAAAACTTGTAAGAAAAGGCTCAGTTTAAAAAGGGTATAAATAGAAATATGTACAGTATATATAAATACATACAAAATACAAGGTTTTGCATTCCACATATTTGCATTTGTACTCCTTCCAACCTGAGCCAAGAACTAATACAAATATGTATAGTGCAAATGCATTCAAAATAATATAAAACACAAGGTTTTGCACTCTACATATTTGTATTTATACTCCTTCCAAACTGAGCTAAAGGAACAAACATCCTTTCAGTTCACCACTTCACCTTCTCACCTTCAGATCTTTTCCAAAATTCATTGTGTCCTCTTATAATTTCACTTCCTCTACTTCACCCATTTGACTAATATAACTTGGAGCTAATGTCATAAGAAATCTGGGTTCCCTCAGTCCCACATGAACAAGAATAAGTAGGCCAGAACAGAATGGAATAAAATTAAAGAGAAAGAAAAATGGTATAAAGAATGTTGATCCATCAATAAAAAAATTTAAACAAATGTTTTTTTTTTCTATTATTGTATTTTATTTTCTACTCTTTCCAATGCTTGCACCAATCAAAAGAACAAATGAAAAAAAAAAAATTGCCACGTGCAATGCACGTTCTCATTTACTAATAACCAAAGTATGAGATGAGACTGTAATCGTGCGGAGCAAACCCGAATGGGTCTAGGGGTTTGGGGGAGGGCTACCCCTGTTGTGCACCCCCACCCCCCACCCACCAAAAAAAAAGGATAAATTAGTTTTGTAGACAACGTGAACTCTTGATTTGTGAAAGAAATAAGTGCTTCATTTAATCAAACCGTGGTTGAGAATGCGCCCAATTCCCACTTTGTAAAGCTGAAAAGTGTTAGCAGAGCTAGAAAAATTCTGTTCATGACCTAATTTAGCTTGCAAAAAGGAATGAATATAAAGAAATAAATAAAGGATGATGTGAGATGATAATCACTACACTAACAACTGATAAGCAACGCCTTTATATATAACCTTTCGATTCGCATGTAGAGACCACTTAAATGGATGTCATTTTCACATGATATAATCATAAAAACTGCAATGGCCTTTCCACTCCAAGGTGACGCGTAGGGACACAACTCAAATTAGGTTCTCCCTTCTATCATCTGCATTGGCATCTTTTTATGAATAAATTAAATAAAAAAAGAGGTAATTGATGAGCTCAATCACCCCTTGGGTTAATTTATGGGCTTATCCTTAGTGGGTTAAAGCACGGCCTTGTTCATGAATCTTGACAGAGGTTAAGCAAGTCTTAATCCATGCCCAAGAACATATATTGATATATATATATATATATATATATATATATATATAATTAGATCCGACCCATTCTGCTCACATGGTCATTGTGGCAAATGCCATTTATTAGGCATCCATAGAACTTACATACAAGAATTGTAAACCACCTTTGATTTAAAAGTTTAAGCTATTAAGTTGTAGTTCGATTTTTGTATACAAGTCTAAGGGAAGTCAATGGGTTATGTTCGGTACAGGTTTGCCTCAATTATTCTAACATGACCCTTCCATTGTTTCCACTAGAATCTGATCCAACTTAAACATGCAATTTTCAAACCCAACCTATTTCCTTTGATCTTTTGGCTCAGTTTGAAAAGAGTACAAAACCTTATATTTTATATTAATTTGTATGTATTTATACTGTTTTGTACTCCTTCGTCCAAACTAAGCGTTTATATATTACACATTTTAAAAACCTACATAAAAGTCATTTTTCTAGGTTGGGTGTCATTTTCTTCATTAGTGACAGAAAAAAAAAAAAACAAAAACAAAACAAAACAAAATAAACATGAAAAGAAATCTTAAACCTTAAAACTATCGAGTTAGAAGTCAGCAAATTCATGACATGGCAATGCGGGTCCGATAAAACCCGGACTCGCTTCTGATTAAAGATTTAAATTCCTAGCCCAATCCTACACTTGAATTATATATATAATAGACCTCATCCTAACCCGGCCCTATAAGATTAGGTCAAGCAAGTTTACCGTTTAACACAACCCATTGACATCCCTACACGAGTGTGGAACACAACCACTCATACGTGTATTCTAACTGATATAGGGGTATTCGGCCGACCTATAGATCTTGACACGTGGCATCAGCCAAACGCATTCCAATCATTTCGTGGACCCTAACACGTGGTGTTGGCTGAACATATCCTGACCACTAGACATGTTCATGGGCGGGTAGTCTGATGGGCTGGCCTATTATTAAGTTGGGCTTGGTCATAATTTTAGGCCTGCGGGCTCAGGCTCGAGCCTAAAGCACCGGGCCCGACTTTTTTCTAGCCGGGCTCGGGCTTTCTCAAAAAAGCCCAGCCTGAGCCTAAGCCCAACTTGATACTGTATACTAAATAATAAAAATATATTTTATTTAATACATATATATATATATATATATATATATAATGTTTTTTCTTTGTTCTTCTTCTTCTTTTTTCCAAGTAATAGTGAGATGTTTATTATTTTTGAGTCTTGAAGGTTTTTAATATAAATAAAACACTTTTTTATTGAATAAAAAAAGAAAAAAAAATATTTTCAAATTTCTAGCTGGGCTCAGGCTTGGACCCGGGCTTCAGGCTTTATATGAGGGTTGGGTTCGGGCTCAGGCCTGAGTGTATTTTGTTAATACATATACAAAGCCCGGCCCGTCCCATGAACAGGTCTATTGACCACCCATCACCAACTACTGCCAACTGCCACCACCTGCTCCCAACTATTCCTCCTCTCAAACTATTCTGACTATAAAAAGAGGCTCCCACATTGAGAAAAACATACACTAGAACTTAAGCTCTAGTTAAGTGTCCTCGCTTGCTTGGTCCGATCTCTCACAGCTCTCGGCTAATTTGACCATCGAAATCTTCACCCTTGAGATAACTTCCAAGGCCTTTGACATCTTCTTTTTCTCAACAGATTGGACCCATCAACCTCGGGCTAAGCGAAAAGCCACGATGGAGTTGATTGGTTATGTTGCTTGGGAGTTCAGTTTGGCTCATACATCTCTATGACCCTCGTACCAAACAATGAGGTAGAGCACCTTTGGACGTGGGAAGTGGGATCGCTCATCTGTAGACGGATGGGTATTATGGGGAAATAACTATTCAGGGCTATTAGCCAACGTAGGTGTGATTTATACTAATAGATTGTGGGAGAGAATGAGAGAACCAAATGTAATATTTTAATTTTAGCCCCAATTTTATAAGCACTTGATCAGAAAGAAATGGTAAGTGGTTTATCTCCAAGTTCGTGCTGTTTCCAACTTGAGATGGACAGAGAGCCTTTCACTTATATTTATACATTTTAAACCGAAAAACAATACCCACGCCAACCAAAAGAAAAGATGGGGTTTAACAAAAACCCTTAATGCGATGACGTCCACCAGGGAGATCTCGATCATTGTTTTTTTAGGTGACTTTCCTTATCTTCCTATCCCATTGCAGAATTGTTTGTCCTTCCACCAAATAACTTGTCAGATTTTAATTTGTCTATAGCTATGGCATACGTGCCCCTTCCTCTCTCTCTCTCTCTCTCTAAGTTGCCTTCTTTTTTATGAGCCTAACCTAACTTGCCAAACCAGACTCCACAAACAAAACCAATGCTTTTTCAAACCAAATCTCCCGTTACAATAAATCTGGGGATCAATAGTTCAGTCCCTTAACGGAACATTATTGCATTGTTTTTAAAAACGAACCAGTGGCCGAACCGGGCAGGGGTCTGGTTACCGGTCCGAACGGTCTGACCGTTCGATCCGAATGGCCAGCCTGTTTTGGTAAAAAAAAAAAATTAAAAATTTGGAAAATGGTTAAAACCGTTTAAACGGTTCAAATGGTTAACTGGCCGGTTCAACAATTTGCTGACCAAAATCAACAATTTTGGAGGAAAATGAAACTGGTCAGGTGACCGGTTCCCAGTTTTTCCAGTCTGACCGTCCGACCCGGTCCGGTTTTGAAAACCATGCATCATTGGATCAAAAGTTTAAAAAAAAAAAGTACAGAAAGAGATGCACAGAGAGAGCGACAAAGAGTAGAGGGTATGGGGCCATAACCTAACATACCCTTCCTTTTCTGGATCTTCAATTTTTATTTTGGAATAAAATAAGCAAACGCCTAGGCACGCACATCTCCCTTATATAAGCATCAATGGTGAGCCACCATTGGTTACACAAGCTCGATCGAGGCTTCCATTACATGGCATTAGACTCTTCAACTGCTATCATATCACCATCTTCTTCTTCTTCTGTTGCTTCTCATCCAGAGCAGGTTGTGTGGCTGCAGGCTACAGGTATCCCGTATCCCTACCCAAGGACTTAAGTTGCGTTAATTATTGATTTGCATTGGAGATGGGAAGCAGCCAGAAGGAAGCGTGTGGCGGGCTGGAGTGGAGGGTGCGTGCCAATGACGGGGATTCACGGACCTTGGCCCCAGAATCTGCAGGTCCCTTGGGCAAAGCCTGGGTATGTGTAGTCCTAAGTGGCCTAATGTGGAAGGTCCGGAGGTTTTTGGAGAAGGCGTGGGGTATTGGTATTGATGAGCCTAGAAAAGTAATCCATTGCCTCAAGGTAGGGATAGCTCTCACCACGGTCTCACTTTTTTACTACATGAGGCCTTTGTACCAAGGCGTCGGTGGAAATGCCATGTGGGCAGTTATGACCGTTGTGGTGCTCTTCGAGTACACTGTGGGTAAGCTCGTCCAACTCCAGACTTACTACTACTCCATATATTACAAATCATCAAAACAATATAATTAATATATATGAACAACCCAATCCCATCAGTATTCGTTTTAAGTTTTAACAAACTAGATGATCTTCATCATCAATTTCCAGGAGCAACTCTGTCCAAAAGCTTTAACAGGACAACCGCAACTTTCCTTGCCGGATCTCTCGGCGTGGGCGTCAACTGGGTTGCAACCCAGTCTGGACAAAAGTTTCAGCCCGTAATCCTTGGAGCCTCCGTTTTCCTCCTTGGTGCATTTCATATCTCACTGCTTGATGCTTGATTAATTAATATTTCCATTAAATCATCACCAGCTAACAATTACAATTACAATTATTTATTAATTATAGCAGTATTCTGTTTGTCTCAGCCTCTGCGACGACTTTCTCAAGATTCATCCCAACGATCAAGGCTCGCTTCGACTATGGTGCTTTGATCTTTATCCTCACCTTCAGCCTGGTCTCAGTGTCAGGATATCGCGTGGAAAAACTGTTGGATATGGCTAACCAGCGGCTATCCACCATCGTCATAGGCGCTTCCATGTGTTTGATCATAAGCATGCTTATCTGCCCCATTTGGGCCGGTGAGGAGCTCCAACTCCTCGTCACTCGTAACATGGAAAAGCTTGCCAATTCATTGGATGGTACGTAAATTCATCAACTCATCAAGACTAGTACTGCATGCGCTTTATAATTATTATTTTATATATTTGAATAAAACTAGGCCAGTACCCGATTCAAATTTCCTTCTCAAAACCAAAAAACTCCTACATGTTCAGCATGCATGGCTGAGTACTTCAACGACTGTGGCAATTTTGCTGGAGACAACGATAAAGATTCCCATAAGGTTGCATTAGGCTACAGGTGTGTGCTGAATTCCAAGGCAACCGAAGATTCTCTTGTAAGTAATTCATTCATTCAAAAATCAAAACTATATATGTTATTTCTTATCTTCTCTGGTTAATCATGCATTAATTCATTTCTATAGGCCAATTTTGCTCGATGGGAACCCGCCCATGGCAACTTCAGCTTCCGGCATCCATGGAAACAGTACCTCAAGGTCACGGCCTCCATGCGTAACTGTGCTTATTGCATAGAGGCTCTCAGTGGTCGTATCAACGCAGAGACTGATCAGGTAAACTGAAGCAGTCTCTACTTCATATATACCTACAAAAAATACATACATACATACAAACAGAGAGAGAGAGAGAGAGAGAGAGAGTTAAACAAATGAGCTTTCTACATATTCCATTTGTGCACGAATACTTTGAAGTTTGAATAGAGTACTCTACATGAATATGTGTTTTATCTTACAATTTGAATTGCTATTATAACTGAACAGCAGGCACCTGACTACATAAAGAAGCATCTGAGTAATGAGTGCTTGGCACTAAGCTCCATCTCTTCAAGCATCTTGAGGGAATTGGCGATCAACATTAAGAGTATGAGGACCTCTTCCACAATACATTCCTCAGTTGAAGAATTGAACAGAGCAGTAGAAGATATCCAAAGTGCCCTGAAATCTCTTCCTAACCGGCTCATTCCACCGCACTTACCAATAACCAAGGCTCCAGAAACAGAGCACAGACCATCAATCACCAGTTCCATACCCCTCATTGAGGTTCTTCCTCTTGCCACAGTAGCTTCTTTGTTGATTGAAATTGCAGCAAGGATCCAACCACTAGTTAATGTAGTGGACAAACTAGCGAACTCAGCAGGTTTCAAGCCAGCAGAAAGTGAGAATTCCAATCAGAGCCAATCCACCAAGGAACCTACTTCAGAATGCCAAAATCATGAGGCCTTGAAGGTTCTTCAACAGGTCTAGGTTCTAAATGGTTAACTTGGCGGGGGTCTACCATGTGTATCAACGCAAGAGGAGATTGTATCTTCTGAGAGAAGAAGAAAGAAGAAACAGAGAAAAAAAAAATAAACTCTGAAATCTACGTATTGACAAGTATTTTATATGAGACCATAAAGAAATGGATATGAATTATTTCTCAGTCGATTGATTCAGTATAACAAAGAAAAACTTTCTTTAGTTTATTGCATGATATTGTGATAGCTGTGAATGTGATAAAGGTTAGAATTAATATAAATCTTGCATGCATGACTTTGATAGTGTTTGGAATATTGCAATACACCATGCATCGCACCAACTTTTGTTATTGCTGGGTTCCCACCCGGACCCGGCCACCCCCATATATATATATATATATATATATATGAAGCATGATGACAGCTTAGACTTCACCTACATTACCTGTTAGTGTGCTCTGCTGTTGGTAACTGTAGAAACAGTAGAAACGGTTCAAGATAAGGATGAGTGTGAAAAGAAATCCGCTTTGCCCCTTGTTTTAGCCTTAGGCTAAACCCGGATTAGCTGCATTTGATAGCTAGCTGTGTTGTTAGATGTTGTTGTCATGATGAAGGGAATAACTTTGATAGTAACGTCGCATTCTCAATAATTTTTAATTATTAATTTATCCATTCGTAACATGGTATTCTTAAAAACTCTCTCGATAGCATAGGCTGCTGGCCCCCAATAGCCAAAGTTTTTCCCTCGTCAAGTATACACGGAGAGGTGTAATGTGGGTTGTCTTTTCGTGTTTGTCTGACATGGAAAAACTTTGGCCGTTGACAACATTCTTGGAGTGCGATGTTACCATGAAAGTAGGGTAAAATAGTAATTGTCCCCTATTTACTTTTTACAAACACATAAACATGGGTGTGAATTGGTGAACATGTCCGGTCAAAAAACGCTCCTAATAGGTTGTTGGCCTCCAACAGTCAAAGTTATCCCCACTATAGTTGGTTATGCCAACACGGTAGTACAGGTTGGGGCTGGGGCCCAGCATGAGCCTAGGCCTGTGGTATACGGGCTTTGAACCGGGCTGGACCGATTCATATTTTTCTTTTTTTTTCTTTTTACTATAAGAAAATTAAAAACTCAAAAAAAAAATAAATAAATAAACGAAAATTTGAAGGAAAAATGAAAATTTCAATTATTGTAAGTTGTAACAACAATTTGAAAAAAAAAATCATCTTAAATTTTTATTCCATAATAACTTATGAGGTGCAAATAAAACTAATGAAAATCTCAAATTTTACAGTAATCTAAAAAATTTTATTCAAGTCCCACTTAGTAGTGATACATTGAATGGCATGCCGTGTCCTCTTTTATTTTATAGTTTATCTTCTATGTCAAACTAATCTTTTAGAACTCTTATTTCATGCTAAATCTGTCATCCGACTTCCCCTTTTATTTAGAACTCTTGTTTCATGTACTAAAACAAAATTCCTATGCTATTATGGACACCAAAGGGGTTGATAAATCATGTATCATAGCGGCAATCATAAGATAATCATTTTCATGTGTTTTTCATCAGGCTAAAATATCAAAATTTCCTATAGTAGACATCTAATAGTTTGATAGATGTCATCTCAAATAGCTATTACCAATACTTTCTACTACTTTGATACTAAAAATCATGTTTTATTGCAAACTGCTCTCATGTCCTTTCCCGTTAAATCTTTCATGGTAATAATTACAAACATCACTAGTTTTCTTTCTTGGTACCCTAAAATTATTAGGGCCACCATTAAATTGGTTTGAGAGGGGGTCTAAGAATAATTAGCCATTTTAGTAAATATAAACTAAAATTTATAAAAAAAAATCCAATTAACACAATAATTGCACTTTGATCCTTAGAGTCCGATGCCAATTTGGTATTTCACCTTGAATGCAAAGCTTTTAAGTCTCCCAAATTACTAACTTCAACTTAAGACACTCGATCCTTCTTATTGAAACAATAAAAAATTGAGAGCATATGAGAGTAGATTGTAGAGCAGTATAAGCATGAGAATGGGATATGGGAGATTTTATTTGATTGAATGAGAATGATTATTGTTGTTATGAAACCGGGTAAGGGTTAGGGTATTTATAGGGGTCAGAAATAATTGAATTGATTGAAATACCCTCCTAAACTAGAAATTTATAGTTGTTGAGAGGGGTACTTTGGCTATTTACAAAGTTTATTTATCACTTTATTTGAAATGCCCCCCTAAAATAGTCATTTATAGTTGTTGGGGGTATTTTTGCCATTATAGACGTGAGTTATGCTGGGCCATGACATGGGTCATATTTGTGCTGGACTACAAGTTGTGTCATGCCGTGGGCCAAAAACCCTTGGTCCAGCCCGGCCTAGGGAGTCATGCCATGCCTAGCATGGCCCACCACTGTAGCTGGCGAGCCGAGCCAAGCATGACCCAATCAATGCCAGCCCGCAAGTGGCCCAACCCCCTTTTATGTACATGCCCCATAACCACAAAACAGGATTTACTCCTCTACACCTTACACCAACCTCACAACACATTCTACCATGTATTGGTAACATTTTTGCGTAAATAACAACACACAAATAGGGAAGATGTTCCTGATGTGCATAGCTGCTGAGGAGCAGATCCAGACTCCTCAACCACTCCAATCTCTCATTTCGCATGCATAGCTGAAGTGAGATGTTGTTAATGGTTAAACAAACAGTGCCTAACAAAGTTATCAAAGTGTTGAAATTATTATTATTATTATTTCCTCTCACAGAATCCTCTTCTTCACACCCACCTCACAACTGCAAGTGCTGTGAAGTGAGTGTGAAGAAGAAATCCGAATTGGCTATCAAATGCAACTAATTCGGATTCATTTTCATTCTTTTATAAGTTAGCTATGCAAGTCATTTCTGAAAACTTAAGGTTGAGCCTCTTGCTCCCAATCTCAAGGGACCTGGTATTTTATTTATTTAGATTTCTTAATAATAAGAAAAAAATACTTCATTAAAAAGTAATTACAACTGCTACCCTCATCGCCTGACTATATATATATCAGGCATGGGATGGAGATGGTGTTATCTTGTAACCACTTTCGTCATTCTTCTTCCAAAATTCTGGATGCTTAAAATTGAAAGCGGAATAGTGAATGGGCCGGGTTCTTTGTAGTGGGTTTGGATAGCCAGGTTCATAATAGTGAATGGGCCGACTTTCCAGGCCCATTATTCTGAACCCGCCGTGAATTGCAATTTGCAACCACACCATACCATTTTGTATTTTGTGAGATGCGCTGCTGCAGTGTACCGTGGCTGTGCTGTGTGTAGGGCGCGCGGATAGAGAAAGTGAGTAAAAAATCGGATTATGAGGCTGGGGGAACGGGATCTGTTCCTCACATATGGGCGCCTTACAGACACATCTATCGTCTATTAAGAACATCTCCCGTGACTATAAGTATGGCAGATGTTTTAATGCATTGGCGAAGCGAAAATTCCCTTTCGGTTTTTTTTTTTTTTTTCCTACCCCACTCGATTGTTGGACGACGCGGGTTTCCGCTCTCCCCTTAAAAAACTACTTGGACCTTGAGGTCTCTTTGGTGTTTGGCGTTTGTTTCTCAATGTACTCTCCGAATTTCGCGTACCTCTTAACAAAGCCAAACAACACGTCGAGTGCAGGAGAGAGAGGGAGGCCGGGGTTCAAGCAGGGAGTGGAGTCAGGGAGTTACGACTTAGGAGACGTCGTCGAGTCGACGACGATTTAAGACTTTTCAGTTTTCCCCCAACAACTCTCCCCGAGTTTCTTCTTTCCGTGAAGAAAAGCAAGCACCTCCTCTTCTTCTGCTTTAACAAATCTAAATCCAAATCCATAATAAATAAATAAATAAATAAATAAATAAATAAAAGCTGCCCTAGAACTCTATTAGTCTTTTTTTTTTAGTTTTTTCTTCAATCTATTCTGCAAACTTCGAAAGGAAATGGTGGATTTCGGTGACAAATTAGCTTGTTTTCAAGCAATCACGGGCGTTGAAGATCCCGATTTGTGCACAGAGATCCTCGCTGCCCATGGCTGGGATCTCGAACTCGCCGTCTCTGCCTTCACAGCTTCCAATCCCGCTCCCTCCCTGTCCAACCCAAACGACAACGACAACCACAGTAATAACAACCATCAGAACAACGTCGGCAGCAGCCACCAATCGAGTTTCGATGACTGGGAAGGCGTCCAAGAATCTGGGTTCACTCGTCATGAATCCCAACCGCTTTCAGAATCTCCCGCTGCGGGGTCTCCTCCCGGTTTCGCCTGGAAGATCATCACTCTGCCCTTCTCTGTCATCTCGGGTAGTTTAGGTTTGATCTCCGGTGCCGTTGGCCTCGGTGTCTGGATTGCGGGCGGCGTCCTGTCTCACTCCCTTGGTTTGCTCGGATGGAATTCCGGCCGTGAAGGAGGCGCTTCCTCTCCTATGGTTTCTCTCTCAGCCGCCGCCTCGGAGGCTCTGAATTTTGTTGCCGCGTTCGAGAGAGATTATGGAACTAATCATCCGAATTTTGTCTCTGAAGGATTCATGGATGCCTTGCAGCGGTCTCGACAGGCATTCAAGCTGTTATTTGTGTACTTGCACTCGCCGGATCACCCTGATACGCCGTCGTTTTGCGAGCAAAGTTTGTGCTCGGAGGTTGTGACATCGTTTCTTAACGAAAATTTTGTGTCATGGGGAGGCAATATTCGGGCCAGTGAAGGCTTTAAGATGAGTAACAGCTTAAAGGCTTCCAGGTTCCCGTTTTGTGCAGTGGTTATGTCTGCTTCGAATCAGAGGATTGCATTACTGCAGCAGGTACTGCTAGTTGGGTTCTATCTTTATGTTTTTTTTTTTTTATTTGTCTTAAATCTTTTTTTTTCCTAAAATAGATGGAATAAGTTGCACTTTGTCCATCTTCAACAGTTTACGGTTGTTAGATAAATCGGGAAAAAGATAGCTGTTGTTAAATTTGAAAACTTTGGTGCAGTTTATATTATATACTTGATCAGAAGCAAATTAAAAGGACTTCATTAATGATAAAGGAACGGGACAGAACAAAACCATAAAATCCAAATAGCTGAGATAGGGGGACCAACTATACACGCATAAGACAGATAATACATCTCAAATAATGAAAATGTGAAACATGATCAGAAATACAATTTTTTTTTAACAGAAAAAATCGAAGCCTTTCATTTCATTATAGATTTGAAAATGTGTACATCCAGACCATTCGGTGGGATATGAAATATTCTATTTTGCCCACTCATACATACAGTATAGGCTATAGAGTGAGCTAGTACATTGTCTTCCCTTCTTACATATACTATATTATAGCTATCAAAATATAGCAAAACATGCAACACTTGAGAGTTATAACTCATTCCATCCACGGGCACTGCAGCTTTGAAATGCAAGTGTTATTTATCATATCTTTAGTATCTGTGCATATTAGCAGTTTTTTTTTTTTTTTTTTCAAATTATGTTTTCAAGCTGCTTGAAGACCCTTGAGCCATTCTGTATCAGCACTGTTTTGAGCATTGCATAAACTTCCTTGAGCTGCAAGCATCAGAAATACAATATCAATCCAAAGAAAAAGAACCTCAAAAATCGAGACAAGCAAACTTTAATTTAGAAGCATATAAAATAATAAAGTTAAAGAAAAACATGGAGATAACTTTGAAAATCAAACATTAATCCATTTATTCCCTTTATTGGATGCATTCTATATCACAATACCTCATTCAGGAATACTAAGTACCAAGGTTTCCTTGGAGGATTTTAGTGTGGAGCACACCAAGATTTTTAGGAGGCTTTTGACACTGCCAAGACTCGGTATGGTGTCCAAGTGTCAGGGCCAGACATGGCAACACTGGTTTGGATTGGGAGGGGGAATAATATGGTGTTTCCCCAGGTCTATCCAAGATAATTACTTATGTTGATGGATGAAGGGGCAAAGGATAAGCTAGTATGGTAATGCATCCCTTAGCAATTTTTAATTAATCTGGGAAGAGGGTAATATGTTTCAGAGCAGATCATTTTCTCAATAATGTATTAAGGAGGGTTACCGGAGTATTCTGCTCTTGCCCATCTATCAGAAAAGAGTTCAAGGAAGTTATTCATGGCTCATATTTTGACGTTTTTTGCCATTGTACAGATGGTGTTAATCATATTTATATGACCTTATAGGCAGGGATCAGATTAGCACATCTTCTTGATATACAAGTACAATCTGTATACCTTTTTATTTTTTGCATAATAATACAAATCATGCTTTTCCATTTTTTTTTCTAAAAAATGGAAAAAAAGGTCCTGAAGAGCTGAAGCAATTGGGCAACAAAGAAAAAAGATGATTGGCTGATTCCTCCACCTCTTTTGCAAAGCACACTTATATTGGTATTTGAGATGCCTCTTTTTTATATGATTATTGAGGACTTTGTCAAGAAAAACAAGCTTAACAAATGACTTAACTCTTGGAGGAACTAGGTGACTACACTGGTCATATTTGTATAAGGAATGGATCAAGCAGACAAAAGAGGATTCTGGATCATGAAGTAAGCCAATCTTCAAATTGCCAATATGAGGGTCTCCTAGCAATTAGCAGAAGAATTGCCTTAGTTGACCATGTTGCTCCTCCAATTCAAGCCTACCTAGAAAGTCTTTTTGATGCAAGTTCAGACATAGGACATTAGATAGTGAATGGAGGAACTCAGGTGAGTATGTTGCACATGTATTCATGGGTATCTCGTTCTATAACATGTTGGAGACATGTTGAATCCTTGATATGTATCAGTAGGCTGGTAAAATAGAAATGTCAGCTGATTTCCCCACATATCCAAATTCAAGAACTTTTTATTCTGCACTCTGCAGTATTTGCTAAACCTGTTTTTTTGGTTGAAAAGAAAATAAGAAGGAAATGGAGAAGAGAAAGTGAAAAAGAAAAGAAAAGGAAGACTTATCAATCAAAAAAAAAAAAAAAGAGAAGGAAGATTTCTGTGGTTGTAAAGAAAATAATAGGGAAATTGAACTTCCATAGTTCTAAAGAATATTTAAAGATTTTTGGCATCAAGCATGTAAAGGTTGTTCAAGTGGGTCTATGGGTCATCTAATTCAGACATGGATCTATTAGCTAGGAAGAGAAATAGAGACAGTCTAGCTGCTAATGATTTGGCTGCAGGTAGGATGAGTTATATCTTCAGTCTTAATTTATGAAATGGCAGTATGTGAAGATCAGTTTTTGAATTTTAATGCTTCAAAGTAGGTGTCAGTCTTATTCTTTTAGGTATTTTTGTGTTTTTCAAATATTTAGGATGTTTTAGCACTTTGTTTAGTGGAGCCCACCTGCTATTTTGTACCTTAAGTCAATATGCCACAAATTAAGATGCTTGTGTCAGCTTTGGCTGTTTGTAGCATCTCCTGCTCTTGACATCTGCAGTTCTGCATAAGAGCATGGGTTCTTTCTTCAACTCTTTTTTTAATCAGCAACACAGAAGAAAATTCATTATTATTAGAGAGGAGAAGTACAACTAGAAGTTCTTAAAAAAAATGCAGCATACGCAAAGGGACTAAACCATCCCGGAGTATTACAAATGAGCCCAATACATAGATTGTCTCTGAACCCCTTGCTTAGCTAAACTGTCTATCAAACTGTTTGCATATCGCCTAACCCATTTGATTTGTATCATCATTTCTTTTAATAGCCATTTGAAACATCGGAAGACATTCCTTAGGTTCCAAGTCACTCTCTCCCCCCTTTTCAGCCATCCCATAATTGTTCTCGAGTCACCTTCAATAATCAATCTTTCTATCCCCAATTTTTTGGTTTTCTCCACCCCGAAAATTATTGCCAACAATTCTGATCTAACCACATCACCTTGCCCAACTGAACCTGAGTACAAGGAGAGTATGTTTCCTTTCTCATCCCTAATTACCCCCTCCAATACCTGAAATGTCCAGGTTGCCCACACAACTACCATCAAAATTCAGCTTCTTCCAACCACAACTTGGTGGTGACCAATCCACAGAAGCATTTTGTTTTCTAGAGGAAGAAGAATTAGCTATTGCGCCCCAAGCCCTAAAGAAATCTTCAACCTTAAAATCTGAAAATTGATTTAAGGTTTTACCCCAGTGTGCCACTCTTAAAGTTATTACCTCTATCAAAGCTTTCTTACTCTTTTCTTTCCCTTCAAAAATTCTTGATTTTTTTTCTTCCCAAACTGTCCAGACCACTACTACCCTTGGTCATCTCCTCAAGATCCTGTCCTTCCTCTTAGTGCAGCTGAAAACAGAAGGGCTAAACAACCCTTCCAAGCTATCAGAAGGGGACCACCTACACCCAAAGAGTGAGGAAAACCAATCCCAAATACAGCCAACAAAACCAATCTCAATCCAATCGTTTGAATCACATTGCAGGTATTAATACAGCCTTGAAACACTTCCTAACATAGACACAGTTTGTTGGGGCTACAGGGAATCTGTTAAAGAAAGTTAAATGGATGACAAGAAATATGACTGTTAGGTTCCAGTGGGTTAGCAGATCAGCAAATGTAATGGCTGATTCTCTGGCCAAGCAAGGGGTGTCAAGGGGTGATCTGTTTTGGGCTAATTTGTAATTTGTATCTCAGGTTTGGGCATGTTTTAGTGTTTATGATTCAGTCCTTGGGGGAGGTAACATCTCGTGCCTCTTCCTAGGCTGCATGTATTTTGATATTTTTTCAATAAAATTACTCTCATTTATCAAAAAAAAAAGCATTGACTTTTGGAGGAATGGGAGAACACCAAATTTCCTTAACAAGGAAAGGAGAAGGGGAAGTGACTACAAGGGAGCTGAAAGAAGGTTTACAGGCGAACTGCCCTGTAGGATTAGAGACCCACACCCTAGTATTCGTACCATCTTCCCCCAGAACCACTGAATTCAGCAAACTTAGCAAATCAGACACACTGGAAATTTCAGACTCTCTAAGATTCCTAGTGAAGCCAAGGTTCCAATTCAGCCTTGAGGAAGAAGAGTGTTGGAAAACAAACTTAGACATGGGTCTACCCTTGAGTTAGAAAGAGCAAAAAGGGAAGGAAATATCTCAAACAAAGGGGACTCACCAACCCAAACATCTTCCCAAAATCTAATATTCTGACATGAGGCCAAATCATACTTGACACGGTTGAGGAAGGAAGGAAGGATATCATGGATAGCCCTAGTCGTGTATTACTGATATAAAAGTAAGAGTCCAATTTCAGTAGTGCTGGTTAGTCCATCTATTAACATCTCTTCTATGGTAACCTGCCAGTATAGAAATTTGAATATGGAATAAAGAAAAAGGTGCTTTTAGATAACAAAAGCCTAAAGGTGTGGTTTATCCTTTGTCCAATCTATGATCTGGAACCATTTCCCTTTATTTGCCCACTATTTCTCAGGCATATTGCAATGTGTTCTGTACTCTGAATCCTGGTAGATTGGGGACAGGTTGAACATCAAGAAACCTTGATGGAGAGGTACAAATGATGTGTTTGAGTCCTATATAAAATGGGAGCTCCATTTGTGCAGAACTTATATCTCCTATCACTTCTTCAAGGACTAAGGATTAAGTTCTCTCTAGGCTATGTTGATTTGCAAGCAGAGGCTATTCTCAGGTGGTAAACTGGTAATACGTGGAAGTGAGGGTCCATGGTTGTATCTTATCCACTTAGTCTATGTTTGCTTTGATAAAAAAAAAAAAATGGAGAAACAGAAAGTTTGAGGGAAGGTTCTTAAGAAATTATGTCTCTTATTTTCTGTCAAACAAAACACAGCCTTAAGGGCAATATCTCTAGCCCATAAGATGGTCACCTCATTCTGGTTGGTTAGAAGACTGGCAAATGGCGTGGCAGATTAGGTGATCATATGAATAAGGTTGAGAGGAATTTCTTGAAAGATCCTTCTTCAATATCTTTGGAAGGGGGATTTATACTTTTTATATAAAATAAAGGTCATCCCAATATTGGTCTCAGTTATCTGGGGTCTTGGGAGGGGTAGACTGGGTATGGTCCTCACCTTTGGCATTTTTTTCACACACAGTGGCCTCCCTTGGATTCAAACAGGATTTATACTCTTTATATAATCTTTTCTTTTCTTTTTTACTTAAGATTATTTGACCTTGATTGTTGTACTGATAAAATAAGGTTTGAGAAAGGAGAAGGCTAGCTAGATAGAGATTCCCTTATTTTCTTTTTTCTTTTAAAAAGAACAAAAATGTGTCAAAAAGAAAACTTAGGGCCATGATAAATTAGAACCCTATTTTCTTTTACCTCTTTATTTCCCTTGTAAAAACAAAAAAATGTTTCTTACTTTCACTAATTTTGCTATTCTTTTCTCTTGATTCCTTTGCAACCAAACAGTAAATGATTCAACAAGATGGAAGAGAGCAGTTAAACAATTCCTGTGCAACCAACCACCCATACCTTTTTTTATCTTTTTTGATCAATAACCCAATTACCCATTCTTGTCTTAAGGTTGACATTGACATTTTGATAACTGCTTAAATGTTGAAGTTGCAGAATGATGAAAGGCATGCATTTAGGTGACTCTTGAGTTGTAAGTTTAGAATCCTTCCTGCATTCTGCTTTCAGTACCTATTTGACAAGTTATCATACTGCCCCTGGAGAATTAAACATTAAGTTGGAGAACAATTAATAACAGAAAAACAATAGACAGATACAATTCTAGGTCAAGATTTAGGTGACAGAAAGATGAAGAAATCATGAATTAATAATGTGGGAAGCTTATCTTATAAGGAGCTATTGAAACTCCAAATAAGTTGCACATTCAAACTTACGTATATGGATTTACCACAGGCACAAGATCAAGTAAGTGGGTCCTATATATTGGTGATTTGATGGAGAGAAGAAAAGAAAGCATGCATTGGTCTTACAATGTCGTAGTCTTCATGAAAAATCCCATTTATCACTGAGCAGAAAAGGGGAAAAATAACATATACCTGTTTTTTCTTTCAGATTGCTTTTCTCATACTTCTCCTTATCACCAGGCCTAGGCCCTAGAGAATGAAAAAAAAAAAGACAAGCAGAGAAATAGAAAATTGGAAAAAGAATTTCTTACCGGTGTTGTCTGTCATCAAGTTGTTTAATCTCTTAGAATGAGGGAAAAGATCTGTCAAGTTTAGTCTCTTACCTGTGCATTTATCTGTTAATTAGATTTTGTTCTGAGATGGTATCCTCTTCTTAAAATTAATGTTCCTTTCTATACATTCTTATTAGGCTTTCAGTTGTTTTCTCTTGTAGTTTCTTATTTTACAATTTCAAATGCCTCGTAATCACAGATTGAGGGAATGATTTCTCCTGAAGAAATGCTTACAATCCTTCAGAGAGTAGCTGAAGAGAGTGCTCCTGTTCTTGTCACAGCCAGGCTTGATGCAGAAGAGAGGAGGAATAACATGCGCTTGAGAGAGGAGCAAGATGCAGCATACAGGGCAGCACTTGAAGCTGATCAAGTATGTATTGCAATCACCTTGTTCTTCATTATCTTAGATGCATGTTTTGTCTGAGTTTACAATGCTGTTATTTAAATAAATAGCAATATGATATGTAGAAATGGTATGTGGATATGTACACAATATCATATCTTTAAGAGGTTCCCATGAAACTACATAACCTTTTCTTTCTTATCCCTCACTACTTAGTTTAAACAATGTTGTTTCCCTGCTACATTAGGCAAGGGAGCGCCAAAGAAAAGAAGAGCAAGAGCGGTTAGAGAGGGAAGCTGCTGAAGGTGAGAGGAAACGCAAGGAGGAGGAAGAGGCACAAGAGAGAGCAGCACGTGAGGCAGCTGAGAGAGAAGCTGTGCTTGCTAGAAGGCGCCAGGAGAAAGCTATGTCACTTGGTGTTGAACCCGAAAAGGGACCTAATGTCACACAAGTAATTATTTTCAATTTTAACTTTTGAATTTTCCAATGATTGACCTTGTCATCATCTTCTGTGCTTGTGTAAGGACTAGGGAATAAGGCTTAATCAATTTTATGTCCTTAAAAGTTGTTTGCAAAACAATAAATGGATTTTTATACTTATTTTTGGTACTAAAAAATGAAAACTATACTTCTAAGGAGTAAAAACATCGATCTGAAGCTTAAATATTTGGCTACACATAACAATATCTATCTTGATCATTGTTATTGATAAAAAATTGTAGCCTGTGTCTTCAAAAAATTGTAATGCTAAAAAATAACTTGTTTCTTTAAAAAAAAAAATTGTATCCACTATTCAAAGGAAGCAAAATACATGTAGCTTGATCTGAATTAAGTATGCTTTAAACTTCATTTATCTTGAAAATTCTTCCTAAACATTCTATTTCCCTTCCTTTTTTAATTCATATAGATGGGGTACGCTGTGGTCAGTGCTCACAAGTTTCTGACATTGAAAGGCATGCAGTATCGTGAACCATTGTTCATTGGGCTTTCGTGTGTGTGTGCCTTGGGGGGGGGGGGGGGATGTTACCTAGAGAATGAGAGCAGGGCGAATGGAGGAAGAGGGAGAGAGGGGTGCATCTTCAATAGATTGTAGAGAAAATCTTACAACAGAGCTAGAAACCAGTAGTGCTGTATGGAGCAGAGTGTTGACGAATAAAGGTGCAACATATCCATAAAAATTGTAGTAAGGATGCTGACACGTATTGATAGGACTAGAAATGAATGCGTTTGTTACTAGTATTATTTTTCTGTGGCACATTATCCTTGTTCATTTTGTTTTTTTCCTTTGATTGTTCAGATTTTATTTTTCTAATTGGAATTCAGTGTTTGCAGCCTTTGCTTCTTTTTACTCCCCCGCCCCCTATTTTTGATGTTCATAGTTCTCTTTTCCTTTATTTGGTTAACATGTTCATAGCCAATTTAGGTGTTTTGCCCTCTTTTTATCCTCTGGAACAGGTTCTTGTACGATTTCCAAATGGAGAACGCAAGGAAAGGAGATTCCACAACATAGCTACAATCCAGTCTGTCTACGACTATGTCGATTCTTTGGATTGTCTGAACTCAGAGAAGTACAGCCTTGTCTCCAACTTTCCTCGTGTTGTCTATAGCCCAGAGAATCGCTCATTGTCATTGAAAGATGCAGGATTGCATCCGCAGGCTAGCCTTTTTGTAGAAGTGGTGGATTCATGAGTGGAAAGCTACTTGTGATTGTTGATATCCGAAATGAGAAAGCAAAAAATTCCATTGGATAGTCATAGTCTATTTATTTCCTTCTTCTTTTTTATGTCAGAATAGCGGTTTTCCTTCAAACTGGTGGAATCAAAATTCAAACAAATGATGCTTGGTTGTCAAAAGTATCTTGAAGTTGCATTCCATTTTTGTTAGTGACTAATTTCTGTAATTATGTTGATTATGAATCAAGGATAAGAAAATTCTCCCATGTTTCTAGATGGTCCACTGCGTCTAGATGTTCCGACTGACAAATCCAATGAAGATTGGGTTTATTAGCACGTTGTACACGCCATGTTTGTAGCAGATCCGGAGTTATGTGAACGAGTGGTTGTATACGCTGGAACACAAGGGTGCAGCACAGAATCCGGATTACGGGGATGCTTGGAGTTGGGACCTTTTTGTTTCACAAGTGGGCTTGATTCATAAGTTATCTATCAAACAAATAGAATGTATTATAAATGTTAGGGTAATTGTCCAAAATCTACCATCGCTTTTTATGAATTTTTTTAAATTTACCATAACTTTTCAAAATGTCTAAAACTAAAACTCATCACTGATTAATAAACATTGCTAATTTACTATGAGTGTGAATATTAAACCTAAATGTTCGATTCATTTTACTGTTTAACTTAAATGTTCGATCCATCACGTATGAGTGTGGATATTAAAATATCAAGACAGACTTGTTGGCTTTCCGCATCATGAGTTGTACTGCAAGAAGAGGGCGCGAAGACGGGAGTATTTAGAAAGAGAAGAAGGGATGCTATGTTGAAGGTGTTGGAACGAAGGCTAAGCTTGCAAAGCTCGAGGAGTTTACCAAGGTGGTCAGTGAGAGGATGGTGGAGTTATAGCAGGCAATGCCTCGCCAATCGCAGGGAGCGGATGGTGTGGAAGTATCCCAATCATGCAGATTGAGCTTGAACGGTACCAAGGCCTGGACTCCTCTGGGCACAACATAATAGGCAACAGGGCGGTGGTGGAGAAAACCACGAGGAGGAAGAGGATGGTGTGGTCAGTGAGTTTACCAAGGTGGCCAGTGAGCTATAATGGCCGAGTTGTAGCAGGCAATGCCTCGCCAATTGTAGGGAGCGGACGGTGTGGAAGCATCCCAGTCGTTCAACGCGACAAGCGGGTCATGCAGATTGAGCTTGAACGGGACCAAGGCCTGGATCTCAGCTAGTGCTTCAGGACTCCTCTGGGCGCAATATAACAGAGTGGTGGTGGAGAAAAGCACGAGGAGGAAGAGAAGCGTGTCGTAGTGGTCGCCATGGGTGGTGGTAACGGTGGAAACAGTGGTGGCGGACCGGGTGGTGGCATGGCCATTGTTCGGTCAAAAGGAGTCTTGAAGCGAGAGAGAGCAGAGAGCAGTGGAGAGGAGCGTGTGTTAGCAGAGGTGGTGACCGGTGAGTGAAAGGCTCTAAGCAGTGTCTTTCTCTGTTTCCTGGGTTCCCTCTTCCCTATAAACCTTTGAATAAAAAATAATAGAGGAAAACGTTAGAAAGTGTAGGGATTTTGATCCGGACTGTTTTGGGAAAAAGACGGAAATCGTTGATAGAGGGAGGGAGATAGTGAGCGGGAATATTATATATGAAATAGGATTGGACACTTATGGGCATTTCGGTCAAAAAGATTATTTAACAGGCCGATTCACCGTTCAGGTTGATATGGACAACTTGGGTCATTCAATTTTAATAATGTTGTAACCGATTGTTAGAATTCAGAAAAAAGTGATATTGGGTTTTAGACAATTTTCCTAAATATTATAACATAAATGTAACTCCGTGACATTTCAAAAAATAATTAGCTTTTTTCAAATTTTAATATATCATGTCACTAGGGTGATGCAAGACCATGCAATGCATGTATTTCAAGAAACAAAAATTTGATATTTCAAGAAACCCTTCTTTTTCTGAATAAAAAAGGTAATTATTATAAAATTAAAAATAAGACTACCAAATACACTGGTCCCAAACGTCTCCTACAGAGTGTGTAGCTTTGGCCTCTGTGCACTGGAAAGATCTCGCTATCAATGACAACTTGTAAATATGAATTGTGGCTCCAAAGTCCAAATGCGCGCTTCGAAATCAAGGTTGGTGTGAGGCGTGCTCTGCAAGCAATAGATGGCGCACCACTACACTGAAAACATTGGTTGTCTATGTTCTATATAGCCTGTGCTTTCCCCATCCTGATGTTACGGCCTACTTTCATTGCACTGAATACTGGCTGGCTGTTCACTCGTGATGGATAGCTTAATTTGGTGTGCATGATTTTATCTCCAATCAATTTAGACTGTTTATTGATAGTTTTGAAAGGAGTATAAATGCAAACATGTAAAGTGTAAAACTTTACACTTTTCAAATTCAGCCTTTAGTTCAATTTTGCATTTTGTTTATTAAAAAATAAAATAAAATCTTGCAGCCGTATTTGGGACTTTTATTATCTGCCATGACTGACCTCCAACCTTTACAATTATTGAAGTGAAGTAGACACCAATTTCCAATTAATTGTTATGATCCCTAATTAGCCAACTCAACCAAGTTTAAAAAAATTTCACTCTATGGCAAGCATCTCTTTAAAAAAACACTATCCAGGGAATGGCGGAGATTTATTCTGCCTTCACTAATTACCAAGCAGCATCTCTTTAAAAAAAAACACTTCAAAGACTCTATATTTTTTGTTCCGTTTATGTTTATTGACGGTGCCACATAGGCATCCCCTTAACAAATGCCTCATTAACTGTATTTATGTGTATCAAAGTTTGTTTTTATTGACATTTTATTTCATTAATTGCATTCGGTTTCTGTGCGCCTCTCCCGTTTTAGGAAGCTATATTTTGGAGCTTCTTAAAACGGGTAGGTGTTTATTGGCATTTTGCTGATATAATGCCTAATGACGCCTATGTGTCATAAACGTCCTTATTAAATGTATTTCTCAATTTTACAGTCACACAAATACAAAATATTTATTTAATAAACTTAAACGAAATTAAACACCCTCTATATAACTAACAATCATTCGATTACCGCCACCGACATTCTTCACATGCAATAAGGCAAATCCTCCCGCTACAAACTTGCAACTTACAGCAATAAATAAAGCAAATCCTACACCACCAGCACTTACAAACTTGCAATTAACCACCACAACAAAAAGTTGACAGCAAGTGCAAAAACCCATGCATATATACTCATTGCTGCAGTATGGGATCTAACTCTTGATGCAACCTCCACCTCTAAGTAGTGGTGGTTCATTTCCAGACATCTCAACTGAGTTTTACTTATGATATATAATTTGTATATTCAGTGAAAACATCTGTCTGTGCATAAGAATTTTTACAAAAAGTATTTCAGGTATTTTCAATAATGGGGAACAAAGGAATTGAATTTTTTTTAGTAACCCAAATTTGGTGAAAGCCCATATTTTTTTCGTAATTATGATTATATCATTATAAGCACAAATTTTCAAAAGAATAACAAAAGATTACAAGGCCCCACCCCCCACAACTAGTAAATACTTGAAGAATAAAAGAAAGACAAAGGTGGCTGGCTATGTTTCTTATTTCCCCATGTTGTTTTACTCATTTGTGAACATTTTATATTCTGACTTTCTGAGAAAATACACAAGCTTGCATGCAATATGCAGTTACATTCCCCCATATTAGGGAGATTTGAATGACTAGAAAAGCACTAAATGGTTAGAATGCTTAGAATTATCTGGTGGTGGAATATTCGGTAATCAGAGAGGTGGAAAGAAAGAGAAGAACCCAAACATATAAAAACCTTGGATCGATGCCCTTTCACATTTTCTAGGAATGATCAATGTTCTGATCATTCCCAAACGGAAATACAAATTATCCCTGACGGAAGAAGGGGCAGTAAAGTGGTTGCAAATGATAGTGGTATTTTAATAATATTAGGGATGGCAATGGAGCGGGTTCGGAGAGGGTTTTATAAATTTTAGACTCTACTCACTTCCTTAAACCTCTCAATTCATACCTGCCCCAAAACTCGTAGTGGGTTGGATTTTGAGAATCCAAACTCTAGTCGCACATAATAATACAAAACCCTCCCCGACCCTATTCTTCCTGATTTCAAGGGTAGGGTGGGTTGAATTTAAAACCTATATCTAATTTCCTATTATTTTTTGTCGTATATATGTAATAAATAAGTAAAATAAGACAAATAAACAAAAAAAAAATCCAATTATTTGATTAAGACATGTAGAAAACACATGAACTATCAATTATCTTTCATATAAAATTCAAAATTTCATTAAATTCAACACTTGATACATAAAGTTTATATGCTTTCCAACAATATGCAGGTCAAGGAGGGTTGGATTTAACCTAATACCGTACTCTACCTGTACCCGTACCCATATAGGTTGTAGAATCCTAAAACACATCCCTGCCCCAAAACCCATCCTTTAAGGAAAAAAAACCCACCCCGTTGGGTGAGGTAGGAGAAGGTACCCACCGGATAGGATAGAAATTACCATCCTAAATAATAAGCAAACTAAAGATAGGTTTTAGTAAATATATGCAACTATAGGAGTGTCTAAGTAAATGACTCAAACGCAACCAAAAAACATAATCATAAATTTTTTTCCAAGAATTGAATAAATCACTCAATCTACATTCAACCAATATTGGCACTTGAGGAGGGTGGGTCATTCGTAAACTCTCTTGTTAGATGTAGTAAAGATTGGGATCAAATCCCATTGCCACCAGGGTTGAGGGATTATGGGTAATAGGCCACTCCCCATAGTATAGCAGCACTTTTAAGTAAAAAAGTTAAAAAGAAAAAGAAAAAAAAAATTGATATTGTCAGCCGAGAAATAAAGATCCCCCAATTTGTTTTGGAGAAGTACGAAAACACCCAATGCAGAATTCTGAATTCCACCCCCCCCCCCCTACTACTAGCCCTCTCCCCCTATAAACCACATCCTACCCATGAATTTGGCATCAATTCATGGTCAGGATGCATTCCCCTTGTATTATGGGGCTATAAAATTCTGATTTGGGCTGATTGGTCATTCTCCCTTTTTTTTTTCTTTTGGCTGCATAGGGCAGCACAACGGGAATAGCCCTTCCCCCCAACCCTAGTGTCGTCGGGACTTGATACCAAGTCTCTACTACAACCTGCTGGAGGCCTTACAACCAACTAGTTGGCACCTTCCTTCTTGTCTTCTTTGTTGTTTCAACAAAAAAAGAAAAAAAAAAACAAGAGTAAATTGCATGTTACTACTCTGTACTCCCTCCCTCCCCTCCCCCCAAGCTTTCATTTTCAACAAAAATCCTTGTAAACTTTCATATTCTATTACTTTGCCCCCTTCTATTAATTAGATTGATGGAAGAAACTAATTTATTAAAATGCCTTTTCAAATTCCTTATGGCCAAAGGGATGACATGACAAAGCACATTATCTCTTTATCGTGGTTTTTAAAACCGGACCAGATCGGATGGTCGGACTAGAAAAATCGAGAACCAGTTCCATTTTTCCTTAGAATCGTTTTTTTTTTTCAAAACCATTGAACTGGCTAGTTAATCGTTCGAACGATTTTAACCGTTTTTCAATTTTTTTAATTTTTTTATTTTTTTGTCAGAACGGGCCGACCGTTCGACCCAATAACCAAACCCCTAACCGGTTCAGTCACTGGGTCGGTTTTAGAAACCATGCTCTTTATCACCAACTTTGGATGAGAACTGAGAAACAAAAAGAAAGAAACATGCATTAAGGAGTTTACACAAACTCGAATAGAGTTCAACCAACCGTGGGCTGGCTCATCGGTGTATTAACTGGTTTGTTCCAGCATTGACAGAATCCATGTAAACTTTCATATTCCCTGTTAATTAGATTGATGGAAGGAATCAATTTACTAAAATGCCCTTTAGAATTCCATGTGACCAAAGGGATGACATGATAAATCACATTATCTTATCTCTTTATCACTGGCTTTGGGTGAGAAACAAAAAAGAAAAAGAAGCATGCGTTAAAGAGTTTACACAAACTTGAATAGAGTTCAACCAACTGAGGGTTGTTTGGCTCGTTGATGTATTATCTGATTTGTTTCAATATTGACACAGAATCAAATCCTGCATCCAGTACTGGGGAAAAAAGGGGTCAGGGGGTACACAAAAAAAAAATCTCAAAACATGCTCTGAATAGTGAAAACAATAGCACACCAAGAAGAACCCAAATTTGGACGATTCTTCGGGCCGGCATCAGAGAGTACTTCTTGATTATGAATTATAATGTTTCTTATCGTGAAAAATAAAAAAGGCGAAGCCGACAAAATATGGCGTCGCCCGGACTCGAACCGGAGACCTTCAGTGTGTTAGACTGACGTGATAAAATTATTTTTAATACGCTGCAAAAAAAAATTGTTTAATCGTCGCTCTTGTTTTTCTAATTCCACTATTTATTATTTATATATTCATATTTAATGAATTAAATTTATTTAAAATATCTTCTCTCCATTTGAAATTTATTTTGGCGAGAGGCAACATTTGGCCCCTAAATTATACCGAAAATTATGACATAGATGAACAAAATTAAGATTTCTAGTGGAATTTGATCCCAAGTCTCGACAAAGATCAGAATAGGGTGGGGTTAATAGTACTGGACAAAATTATAAATCCAAAACCTTTCCAGTTAAGAGTCAGGTCTATTGGGTCCATACTCGATTATACTGAAAACTAAATAATGATTTAAAATTTAAATTTTAACAATACAACCTTAATAAAAGTGATAGAAAAATACTAAATCATTTATATGTTAATAAATAAAATAATTTAAACTAATATTCTCTTATTTATTATCTATAAAATTTATCATTTCAAACATAAAATATGAGAAAAGTTATAAAAGAACTAAGAAAATATTATATAAATTTAATAAAATAATCAACTCTGGGCCTAAATTGGTTTGAGACAAATAAGAACCAAAACCATTATAATCGGTTTGATGAATTTGGATGACCTAACCCATTGACAACCATACCCAACATAACATGGAGGGACAATGAATGAGACTGACCGGTGTTATCAGATAGGTCAGTTACTGATCAGTGGATATTTACAAATAATGGTTATGTATAATATGATGCAGACATAGAGAGAGAGAGAGAGTATTAACCAATTTAGGCAAGTTCGTTGTATGGTATTTTTATCATCCAACGTGAAAACAATCGAAGATCACTAATTTTGTGGCAAATGAGTTTTGTTAGGAAAATTTTCAAGAAAAGAAAAAAGAAAAGTGCTTGGTGGGTAACTTGACCCGTGTATTCCATGGTTAGAACGATCAACGAGAACCTCCCAATCCTTGTATCTCAGTGTTGGACTTGTGCATTTCCTCCTTGTGATTACGGCCTATTTATGCTTTTAATTTTTGGGTTTTCAATTCACCCCTCTTTCTATTTCTCCCATGTCTCTACCTAATAGTACTTGATCTCTAAGACTTTAAACCTTCCTTCCGTCTTTTCCATCTCTAGATGTTGTCTCTTTGAATTTAAAGAACAAAGGAAGGTAAGGGAATTTAAAATAAAAGAAAAGATGGTTAATGAGATTCAGGTTCTGGGTTTTGTATGAGGATGGATGAATTCTTATGCATTACCATAGTTGGGGCTATGGAGTTGGATTCATCTGATACCACAATTGCAATTGAATGCCGGTTTCACCTGGCATCGGCATTCGATTCTTATTCTGCTGCATCTGAGGCATTTTCAGACCAACCTCATCAAATCCCAACGGGACTCCAACAACTGCTCTGAAAGTTGGGGGTTTCCTCCTGGTAGCTGTTTCAGTCATTATCAAGATGTGTAAAATGGAGCTTGCTGATGTTGACTACGTCGAGAAAGATCCAAGTGGTCGATATGTTCGGGTATTAACTCTCTCTCTCTGAAATTGGCATCAAAACTACTTATAATTCAAGAATCGAACAGTAAGCTACAATTGCTCACAATTTCCTAGTTGCTCATTAAACATGTACTGACATGGAAAATGCTTTGTTCATATGCTTCTACAGAATTTTATTTAGGCCGAGTTTGGAAGGAGTATAAATGCAAATATGTAAAATGCAAAACCTTATATTTTGTATATATTTACGTTGTACATATTTGTATTTATACTCCTTCCAAACTGAACCTTAATTTATTTGTTATGAATGCAATTGCATGACTGCTGCCTGCTGCTCAGTATCAAATTTATCGAGGGTACAGAACCCGACCCATACATGTTTGCAAATAATTGTAAATGGCATTTTATATTCCTTAATTATATTTGGTAGTTTTGCTGCAGTGTCGGAGTTTTTTTTTTTAGTTTTGTTTGTTGTTGGTTTGTTTGCTCTTGGCTTAGTCTTGTATCTTTTTTCTGTTTTTAATGAATATGTTTTTCTACCCAAAAAAAAAAAAGAATTCTTATACAGTCTCCCTTTTTTGGTTCTTTTCAGTATGATGAAGTCCTGGGCAGGGGAGCATTCAAAACTGTGTATCCTTTGGAGACCTATCTTAATTGGTTTTTTTTTTCTCTCTCAACCCTCTCTCTCTCTCTCTCTCTCTCTCTTAGTACTCTGCACTTAATTTGCTTTTTAATTAATTAGTACTGTAAAATGTTTGTATTTTGTAATGGTGTGAATAAAATAGTATATATGGTTCCTTAATCATTAAATGCAGTTACAAGGCATTCGATGAAACTGATGGAGTAGAGGTCGCTTGGTGCCAAATGAAGATCGATGATGTGTTGCAGTCACCAGAAGCCATGGAAAGGCTCTATTTAGAAGTTTACTTGTTAAAATCATTGAAACATGACAATATTCTTAAGCTATACAACTCGTGGGTAGATGAAAAGAAGAAAACAGTTAATATGATTACCGAGTTATTTACCTCAGGGAATTTGAGGCAGTAAGTTACCAAGTTCCTTATTGACTCTTCTGCATCTTATTTTTCTAAATTCTAATTTAATTTGTTTTAGCTGTCTTCATTGCTCTCGACATTCTTCAAAATTCATCAATCTCCTCTTGGATGGTAGGTATCGTAAGAAGCACAAGAATGTAGATATAAGAGCTATAAAAAACTGGGCGAGGCAGATTCTCCAAGGACTGAATTATCTTCATAGTCATAATCCACCTATTCTCCACAGAGATCTGAAATGTGACAATATTTTTGTCAACGGAAATCATGGAGAAGTTAAAATTGGGGACCTTGGATTGGCTATTGCTATGAGCCAACCTACTGCCCGAAGTGTCATTGGTAAATAATTTACCATAAATTTCCTTCTCTTTTATCTTCTTTTTTCGTTGTCACTATACTTGTTCGCATTTAATCAAAATCAGTCCAGCTTGAACATCCCGAAGCTCAACCATAACTGCATGGGGGTCGATTAGATGAACCCTGTTCTGCAATTCCATTCTCCGTTCATCAATGCCATTTGCACACCCTACTCTGTATGTGGGTGTTCTCTTTTTCTCATTTTGGTCATATGTATATATAGGTACCCCTGAATTCATGGCCCCAGAGCTTTATGAAGAGGAGTACAATGAACTAGTTGACATATATTCTTTTGGTATGTGCATATTAGAGATGGTAACATTTGAGTATCCCTATAGTGAATGCAAGAATCCAGCTCAAATTTATAAGAAGGTTACATCAGTAAGTTTCCCCCAATCGATGATCACCAGCATCTGTGCACTGTGATTCTTAATTTGATTAATAACCAGGCCATTATGTAATGTAGAGTTTTTTAATTTAGAAACAAGTTTCTTTTTAACATTTTCTCTTGCAGGGAATAAAGCCTGCCTCCCTTTCTAAAGTTAGAGATCCCCAAGTAAAGCAATTCATTGAGAAGTGTCTGCTTCCAGCCTCAGAAAGATTGCCTGCAAGAGAACTACTACAAGATCCATTCCTCCAATGTGGCAACGAAAAGGGACAAACTTTTGAACCTACGCAGTTGCCAAATGTCCTTCCTAAACCAATCGACTTCCACAAGTCTAGGTCTCTTCCCATGGACATGGATTCTGAACACAAGAAGATTGCTACTACTGCACACATGGCAAATGAATATAGAAATCCACAAGTACCCACTTTGGAATTTCAAAGGATGAACAAAAATCATGAGTTCAGGCTCAGAGGAGAGAAGGAGGATGATAACTCAATATCATTAACTCTGCGTATTGCTGGCTTAAGTGGTAAGTGAATTTGTCTTATAAAGCTGTGCAATTTTTTTCTTCTTTTTTGTTCTTGTTGTATCTTAATATGGACTTAAATTCGTCTTACTGACAGGTCAAGTGAGAAACATTCATTTCCTTTTTTACCTAGATACTGATACAGCACTTTCAGTAGCTAGTGAAATGGTCGAACAACTTGATTTATCAGATCAAGATGTGACCTTCATAGCTGAGTTCATTGATTACTTGATTATTAGACTTGTTCCTACTTGGAAGCCTTCAGCTGACATTTCTTCCGTTGGAGCAAAATGTTCATTCATTGATGGACCTGAAAACAGCTCAATGACACATCCTTGGGAGTCGATGCCTGTCAATTTTCTGCCCAAGGCAGTGGTTGAGAAAAATCCTCCATTGAAGCCAAACAGAAATTCTCATGCTGACCGTTCAAGTTATTTTGATGGTTATAGTTTTAAGAGAGTCCACTCTCAAGAATCAATTTTTTCAATGTTATCAGCCGAGTACAGTGCCAGACTAGACTTGGTTACTAACAGTAATAAATCAATAGATTGTGTTGGTTATGGTATTGAAGGAAGTTACAAGAGCTCGAATGGATCCGGACCTGAGATCAACTTTGCAGTTGTAGATTATGGTGGCTGTAAAACCAAAACAGTTGGTGATGATGCTAGTGTAGGTGTTGAGATGAATGAATATGCAAAGAACACGGAAGTGTCTTTTTCTGATTTAGGTTTAAATTCTAGTGTTTCAAGCTTGCCAAGCATTGCTTCTTCTTTATCTCTTGTAGATAAAGATCAAGATAGTGAGCTAAAGTTCGAGATTGAGGCAATAGAATCACACTATCAACAATGGTTTCATGAACTCACAAAGATGAGACTAGAGGCACTGGAGGGTGCAAGAAAGAGGTGGATCACGAAGAAACAGCTTATAGCTCATTGATGATGTAATTTGGCTACAACAAAAAACAAATACCATTTTTGTACTTGGAAACTGGGAAGTTGTTCCCATGTTTTTGTAATGTACATGTATATTAATATTCTCATAAATAGAATTACCCACAGTTGATTTAGAAATATGACTAAAATCATCATTATAAAGAATTACAATTTTGTGGGGTTCTCATGATCTTATTATTTGGTATGCTATTAAGGTTACCTTTGTGATCATGAAATAGTCTCTCTGAAAAGTTTCTCATTTCATGAAAAATCAATTTATCGGAACTTTTTTGGATCAATAACTACCACAAAAAAAATGGATAAGATTTTATTAAGTGGAATTGAGCATTCAGCATTGGGGTTGTAATCAAAATGGAATTAAAATTTACAGTTACAACTATAATTCTTTTGCATCAAGAAAAATAATTTTTATCCAATAATCATGCTAAGAGAGCACATTACTTGTCATGCATTCTGAAGCTTATCAGTCCTCAGCACAAAATGCAGCATTCTAATAAGGGTTATAATTTAAATTCTATTTTGTTGCCAAGAAAATAAAAGAATGTGACAAAATTAATGAAATTAAAAAAAAATGAGATGTTGCAGGTTTTGTTGGCCAGACTTTATGTTCAGAAAAACAAGACATTTTTTCCAACAAAACATAGACAAGTTTGACTTCTCTATACTTTAAGAGACTGGTTTTGACAACATAGCTCTATCATTGAGGGAGTATCGGGGAAAACAACAATTTTACATGAGTCCTATGCCCCCCCCAACCCTGGATTATCTATACTGTATATTTTAAGAGACAATTACACAGCATTCCTCGTATTTTTTTTCTTTTCTCAATAAATATTAAACCTCAATCTGCAGATGAGAACAGCCGCATATTTTTCTCCTTTTTCTTATTTTTGTCTGTTTATATTTTTTTCTATCAAATGACCAATCATTACAGTTCACCTCTCTCTTAACCTCTTTCAATTCCTAAACCTGAGTTGTTAGGGGTTAAGCATCTTCTTTGTGTGCTTATATGTAGAAACAGTAATTGTAATCATATGATTAGGAGATACCTTTGCATAGAAGACCTCGAAACAGAGCCGTCATCCACAAGGCATCTGATGTCAGTTAAGAATCTTCAAAAGGAATGAGGTTCATTGATTCATTCATTATTAAATTGCATTGTTTTTTTACCATTTTATGACCTAAACTATTACTGCAAGCTCCTTTTTATCACTAAACCATGGGCTCTGTTCATCCAAAAGCGTTAGAAGACAGTCACAGAGATACTAGTACATTACATTCATTTCATACAGTTCAATTTCTTTTATTCAGCAGCTTCAATTGGAGACTTATTATGCCATCTTAAGTTCATATGTTTCTTCTTCTTTTAAATTTCGATTGGCAATGAGGGAAAACGTAACCAAGATCATTTGTTTTTTCTGGCTGTGCAATTGCATCCTTTTTTTCTTTCTTGGATGGGGGAAATTTATAGTAGAATTGCATTCAGAGACATCTTTTTATGTGTAAAATATTATTATCCTTTAGTCTCACCAAGAACACCATGATACTTACCAGTTAACTTTTAACTCATTAATTAATAAAATAACTTAAACAGAGCTGCTTAATTTTGTTCAAGACGGTTTGTAATGCATAGACTTTTGAGTCGATGGGCTCCTTGGGTTTCTTTTGATCTGCTTTGATCTTTTGTTTTGCATTTTGTAGTCAGACATATTGTAACGTGTAGGTCCTTCCACATCCAACAGGTACCACACAATGAGTAGGATACTTTTGCTGAGTATAGATACAAATACATCTAGATAGAAGTGAAATTGACTTATGAATCTTTCACGAGGCAGCAAGGTCATGGTCAAAGGCTACAAGCTGCCTAATTACCAGGTCTATAGTCCTTTGCTAATTCTTCCATTTCAATCCTCCCCTTTCATAAATTTTATTTCTAAAAAAATATCAATTTCCACAAAATGGGCTGCTCTAGTTAGTATTTGTTGAAATAATTTATTTTATTTTGTTAGGGTCTGTTTGGTTGGTTAAAGCTTTTTTATTTTTTCTGTTATTGTACTTCACTTACAGCAGGGGCACAAGGGTCTTTTCCCTTCTTATTTTTGTCACCCTATATATTATAATAAAATAATAATTTATTTTATTTTGTTAGGGTCTGTGGTTGGTTAAAGCTTTTTTATTTTTTCTGTTATTGTACTTCACTTACAGCAGGGGCACAAGGGTCTTTTCCCTTCTTATTTTTGTCGCCCTATATATTATAATAAAATCTGGCGCCGCCAACACTGTTCTATTGCCTCCAACCTTTCTTCTTTCCTTCTTTCTTCTTCTCTTCTCTTCTCTTTTCTTCTCTTCTTCCTTATTTTTCAATCGGATTTATTGCCAAGATGGTATCAGAGCAAGGCTATTGAATCTGGGCAATCAAAGTTTCTTCTTCAAGTTGCTGAATCTAGGCGGAACAGAGGATTGAATCTGGGTTGATCGAATCAGATCTGCAACTGGTACAGCCCTAATTCGTGTACCAAGAGGAAAACGAATGAATCTGAACCACTGAATGCCAGCAAACCCTTGTGAGGTTTATACCTCTTTTTGTTTTGGATCGTGTGATCCTGTACCTGTGAAAAGGTGGCTGTAGGTCACGGATGACCTGTTTTCTCTGCTTGTTAGCTTGATTTCATGTGTGCAAGGATCTCTCTTAATGATCAATGCTTGTAGACCTTCTGGAAAACTAGTAGGCTGGGACTGTTATTCTGTACAGGTCTGAAAAATCAGTTTTGTCATATTTTTTCTGGAAATCGGTGTTGTTCTTGTGCTCAGATTAAGTCCAAAACTGAAGTGTGTGTGGACTGGTCACTTGTGTGTGGGGCTTTTTTTCTGGTATAAGGATCCTAAGTTGAGAGTTTAGATCAAAAATTCTGTGTTGACCATGTTGTCTGAGAATTCTGCTACTTTAGGGGTTTCAAGAAGTCAAAATGGAGTAAGTGGTGGAATGGATATGAGTTTCCCCATGGCTGTTATTCCCTTTGATGGTCTGAACTACCTTGAATGGTCTAGGGGAATAAAACTCTACATCACTGCTAGGGGGAAAATATGATACATCAATGAGAAAGTGAAGGAACCGAAGAATGGAAGTGTTGAATATGATAGGCGGAACCAAGAAAATAGTATGGTGATGTCATGGCTCTTGGTTTCCATGTTGCCACAAGTAAGAAAGACTTTTATATGGGGCTGAAACTACTTGTGAAATATGGGAACAAGCAAAGTCCACCTATTCAGAGCAAAGACACTATGCCAAGATATACCAATTGCAAGCTGAATCCCCTACTTGCAAGCAAGGGGAGAGGAGTCTCTCAGTGTACTATTCAGATCTGACATCGATATGGAAAGAACTTGATCACTATCAAAATGTGAATTGGAAGTGCTATGAAGATGCAAGGGCATACAAGTCGCTTGTATCTCAGCAACGGGTATTTGCTTTTCTCTTGGGGCTGAATCCTTCATATGAGTCCATCAGGGTGCAGATCTTGGGAAGTAAAGACTTGCCATCAATTCAGGAGGTTTATGCCTTAGTTCAGTCAGAAGAGAGTAGAAGAAGTGTGATGAATTGTACAGAGAGGGAACCAGTTGCCCTAGCTGTCCGGGGAAGCTCAGATACTAATGTTGGAGGTACTTTTAAGAAGGGTGACTCTCAAAAGAGAATAGATGATAAGAGTAAACTTTGGTGCACTCACTACCAAAAGATAAGACACACCAGAGATACATGTTGGAATCTCCATGGAAAACCTAAATGGGCACAAGATTTGGGTAAGAAGTCAACAATTGATCAGGGCAAGAAACCAAGTCAGCAAAATCAGAAAAAGTATAACTCAACTAATATGGCATCTCAAGAGACTAGTCCCATGGTAACTCAGGATAGGCATCCCAGTTTTGACCCTAAGGAAGAGACTATCATTAACTCCTTTCGTGACCATTTGGAGTTATATGGTAGGACTCTTCGCCATATGGATCTAGTCCTACTCCTACCTCTTTCACGTCTACATCGGGTAACATTGCCACTACCTTCCATGTGTCATCTCATACCTCTATTCTCCTTAGGTAATTGACTCTGAAGCCTCAAACCACATGAACGGTAAGTCAAATTTATTTCAGGCATACAACCTTCTCTCTGGGAGAGATAAGGTGAGACTAGTTGATGGTTCTTTCTCCACCATAATCGGCCAAGGAACCATATCTCTCCCACTCGGCCTTACCCTTTCTAATGTACTGCATGTTCCTAAATTACCTATAAATTTGCTTTCCATTAGTAGTATTACTCACTCCTTGAATTGTTCAACTACTTTCTTTCTGTCTTCATCTGTGTTTTAGGATTTGGCCTCAGGGAAGACGATTGGTAGAGGAAGCATGGTGGATGGTCTCTATGTGTTAGAGAATAAAGTTGGTGTTGTGGCTACAGAGTCTTTGAGTTCGTCCAGCTGGGAGACAGTCAGGGAGAGTTCTTGAAAGATGTGATGTGAAGAAGTTTCAGAGACTTGTAGGGAAACTCTTGTATTTATCTATAACCAGGCTTGATATTGCTTATGCAATGGGTGTCCTTAGTCAGTTCATGCACAATCCTAGGACAACTCACTTTGAAGCTGTAGAGAGGATCCTTAGATACCTCAAGAAGTTTCTCGGAGCTGGTTTGTTGTTCCAAAACAACTCTTGTATTTGTCTATAACCAGGCCTGATATTGCTTATGCAATGGGTGTCCTTAGTCAGTTCATGCACAATCCTAGGACAACTCACTTTGAAGCTGTAGAGAGGATCCTTAGATACCTCAAGAAGTTTCTCGGAGCTGGTTTGTTGTTCCAGAAACATGGACATTTAAAGGTGGAAGTATATACTGATGTTGATTGGGCAGGGGCAGTTGATGACCGAAAGTCTACCAATGGGTATTGGGCCTTTGTAGGAGGAAACCCGGTCACATGGAGAAGTAAAAAGTAAAGTGTGGTAGCTAGATCTAGTGCTG